TAAGTGTTTTGGTTAATTATTTTGATATCTTCAACCATCGTATCTGATGTGTTAATACGATAGATCCTATTAAACCGCCATTTTACTGGACCTTGCTTGTTCTGGGTTAGACAAAACTGAAAATTCAGGTATTGTTCTGTCCATGTGGGCTTTCTGTAAACTGACACATACACAGAGCTTTTAATCGCCTCTTATGTAGATTGTTGTATTTGTCCTCCAACTCTTCGCTTATATATATATATATATATATATATATATATATATATATATATATATATATATATATATTCGACCAGTAAATGTGTAATCAGATTCCTCGAAATGTATTGCTCAAATACATCACATTGTTCACATAAATTTCGTCTTCTAATTACACTATCGAAACGCATGGGTTTACCAGGTTATTTATTTATATGGAAATTCAAGCTGGATGATGCGATGCAACTGTTAAAGATGAACACGGCTCAAAATTACACTAGCTTTACCTGTGTAAAAGCTATGAGAAACTAACTACTTTGTTTAGATATATCGCTTAGTCCATCGGAGGATGGTTTGATCAGGATCTAAACTTAGTTAAATAAAGTGCTTATTTAGTGATGTAGATCGCATCTGCACAGATGACGACGACAAAATTGACATAGAGTGGGTGCCCTTTTAAATTTACCAACTAATGCAAATGTTGTCTAGTATTTAGACTTATTCAGCGTTCAATTCATTAGGAAAATCCCTACATCTCAATTCCATTTAGAAGCGATTCATGCAGGTTTGTTCTGAAAAAGGCTTTTAACAGTTATTTGTGAACCATACTATGGAGCCAAGGTCATCATTGAAGAGAAAATAAATCCATGCTACAATATAAATCGAAACAACACAAATGGTTGCATCAAATCTCATTGTGTCTGCCAGTTTACATGTATTTGTGGAGAGATATATAGTCGAGAGCGGAAGTGGGGGGGGGGACAGGAAGTAATCATGATATGCAATTGAGGATGATGTAGAATCCACCTAGGTACTTCCAAAAACAAATGACTTTAAATGATCCTATGAGTGTAAGTGAGAAAATTCCTTCATCTATTATCAAATGTATACTACAAACTGCAATCATGACTTTCAAAAGTTTATTTTGAAGAACTTAGTGGGTTGTCGTATGGACGTTTCCATATACAGTAGCATTCAATATGATATTCCTATATCTACTTTATACTTTTTCTTAAATATTGAAACCCATTTTGATTTTTGTGTAATAGTGATGTATGAAATAATTATGTAACTCGAAGCGGCACATTTTAGACACTAGATTATGTAGCACCTTTGTTGTATGAGAACTTATGATATACACCACTCAGTTATGTAGATGAAAGTAGATGGAAATGGATTTTAACCTAGACTCATAGCTTGAAAGTCGATTGCTTAAGCCTGTGAACCACATCATCAATAGAGTTCCACCGTCTATCTAACTCCTTTAATAGGTTGCCGCTATTTTCTATACTTTATTGTGAATCAGTGATACTACGGTCAGTTTCATCTTCAACTTTGTCTGAGCCTAGTCGTTTCTGTGTGTATTTAACAAGTGGGATAATAAACATAAGAGTGAGCTGTCGTGGTACAACCAATTTTTGTGTTGCGCAATTACGTGAATCCCAGATGACAGTAAAGAAGATGCTATATATCTGATCCTTTTTCTACTATCAGTAACCTTTCTCATCATACTTCTTTCTATTGACTATCAACTTAACTCACTAATCTGTACTGAATCATTGAATTCTGGTATTGAGTAGTTCGATTAATCCAAACTGTTGATTATTAAGTTACAGGTGTTAACTAGTAAAAGAATACTGTTCTTAAGATTTTTTAATGTTTATTTGCTGGATTATTTAAGATACTGCTAATTGTTTCCTTCTCTAAAAATATAATACCATCGAAATTCTCCCCCTGAGGTACAAATATTCCTGACTATCTTAGTTTTCATTGTACAAAGTGAAAAGCAATCCTGGATGTTATTGAATGCCGAATCAATGGCTTCATATGGTCTTCTGACTGAACTGCAAGACTTGTGAATGGTTGTTAGTAGTATAGTACTGGTAGTTGTCCAGTGAAAAGAAACCATTGTCTTTTTGATAGCATTTTCTAACCAGATTCATATACTGTGTGTTTAAACAAATATGGAATTCATTCCTACTTCTTTTTCCAGATCTAATATTCCGTATTATAATGTAGGAAATGAAAACTGTTGCAAAAAATATAACACTATTTCTGCATTAAATTATATATTTTCCGTTGTCTAGAAACTTTGTTTTCTTTAGTAGTTTTTACCGAATTTCTTTTCTGTGTGTATCGAAGGTATTTCTTATTCGGAAAAGCGATTAGTCTTGGGTTCGAGTCCTAGTGGGAAGAAATAAGCGTCCTAGATTCCTCTGCTAGTCACTATCGATCATTAATATCAAAGTTAAATTTTCCACAAAAAAACACCCAACAAATGACCTTCGGAACCACTATCTACTTATTGCTTCTGGGCTATTCTGAAGTTGTCATTAGAATACCTTAGATTTTGGTATCATGCTTTTCGGCACCGATTAGCAAGGTGTACCTGGAGTTAGAAGGAAACTGATGCCCTTTTCCACAACTAAAACAGAACTACTCAGCTATGCGTTGGAGAATGTTACAATTGAGTTATAGGTCTAACTATATCTTCCTCGCCATGTAAAGTGACTGCCAATGTCACCTAGACAATGTGTTTCTTGTATTCATAAGCCAAACCACGGCTATCTCAGATAGTCAAAACGATAATCAATACGATGCTCCCCCTCTCTAACTCAGTTAGATTTGGAATGAGATGACAAGTCCTGACTAGGCAGTCAGCGTGAGTACGACCAAGCGATTGTAACACGTCACAAATTCACATGGTAGTCAATAAATATCTTGGTGACTGAAGTGAAATAAAAATCTGGCCAGCAGTCAGACCTCGTAGCCCAGTCGATACAGTATCGGGCCGGAAACTCGATGTCCGCTGGTTGGAATCTGGCAGCGGTCCAAATTTTCATTTTCCTTTCAATCATCACTCAGTATCAACAGTAGTTTGCCAAACTACGGCTATTTCAGATAGTCAAAATGGTATTCATAAGCAACAGACTAATAACTACGATTCTGGAGATATAGATGAACGGTCAATCTGTGCCACGTAGCTCTATCTGTCTGACAGTCATTCTGAGTCTTGATAACTTAATCAGGCCGCCTACGTTTTTTTGCACTTTATAAATATCCATGTGTTTTTGAGAAAGACGGTACATATTGGTTATCGTGGCCTACACAGACGTTTTATCCTTATTTTGTTGTTAGCTAGTGTGACGCTTGTAGTGTTAGGACCAACTTCGCATACAACAGCTAGCAGTAGTATAAGGATTGCGATGCAATAATATTGAACAAATAAACTATTGTAGCTTGAGGATTTTTCTTTTTTTTAAGCTGTATTTATCACGAACTGATATCAGTTGGGGAACCATTGAAAACCTGGGAGCACTGGATATCTTTCTCGTCGTAGTCAGTATAGGGTGTACTGCTGAGGAGTCCTAAATAAGAGCGAAACAGATGTCTAGTATTTTTGGTTCGTCGATGGAGATATGCCTCATTGTCTTAGGAACTCGACTTTTAAACAAAAGGTCCCAGGTTGTAATCTCTGTCCATTTCATTTTGCCTAACTTAATGGGTGATATAGGAAGCCCCTCACAACATATGTGACTCCTAGGGTAGCACATAAACATGTGTCGAGTTGAGTAAACAGCTTAATAATGGTTCATCAGCCGACGTTAATCCGTGATGAAACCTACTGTGAAACAAAATCATACTGATATACATAAAAAATGACTAGTTCTTTTATTATCATGTTATTTTGGCTAATATATCTCTTATTTCATCACTAAATAGTAATTCATAATTACGTATTCAATTCTAAACCGAAAAGTGTTGCTTTTGATTGGGGATGGCAGACTATATCTGATGAATAAATAACTTAGTTTCTTGTAGTTGTATTCAGTTTATATGTTTTACTACCACTCAAATGAATTGGGTTTAATTCGTTGGAACTGAAGCAGTTTCTACGCTAATCAATAGACTAAACGGCAGTGATCAGTCATACACTCAGCTCTGTTCAACTTACTGATTCTGTACTATTTAACTCTACATAATTTCATCAGTGTATGAAGTTTCTAAACATTCATTCGATTCATATAAGGAAATGTAGAGTTTGTTAATAAGACGATTCGAGATAGGCGAAGTTTATCAGAATAGTGTTATTGATACTGGCTGATGATTGGAGGTGAAATGAAAAGGTGGATCGCAGCAAGATTCAAACCGGTGGCTTCCATGTTATCATACCAGCGCTTTGCTAACTGACATATGAGACCTGGTCGAGGTCCTTATGACAATTCAAAATTATGGCTGGGAACTGTAGGTGATATGTATCAACGATGGTATAATACAAGCAATAATACTAAAGCTATACCCGTTGCGCAAGAATTGGCTATCGGGGCTCGGTGCTGTAGTGGATAACGCTCTGGTGTTTGATGCGATCGATCCTGATTATGAACCCCGGTGGGAACAAAATCGCTCACTGGGAGGTAGGTAAATACAATTGACGAGTCCCAAGCAAGACGAAGTGCACATCCTGGATTCCACTGCTAGCCATTATCCATCATTAATGTGCGTGATACGGTTGAAAATCGATGTCAGTTACTCAGATGTACTCGCACACTATTCTCATTCGAATCGTGATTTGCTGTTGTTTTATCCCATCTTTGTATGATATTTTATGACTACTGATAACATTTTCTACCGCTCATCTAACTGTTTTTTATCTTGATATACTGATTCGAGGTATGGTAACATGGCTCATTACGTAATAATACCAGGTCTCATGTTAATGTCAACTGGGTTTAATTAGCATAAGTAAACAAATCATGTATTATGATATGATTAATAACTTTACCTTCTTTTATTGTTGATAGGATGAATTTATCGATTCATTGATATTAAAACTCAAATCACTGGGACTAACAGAATTAATGGAATCACAATTTGTAAATTTATCCAGTTATATTTTGAATTTATGTCGAAATGGTCATCCTCAGAGTATATTTCATTCTCTTAGTCCAAAAGTTAATCGTGTTTTTCCTAAATATAAAATCTATCCCCTTGAAAATGGGAGTAAAAAGTTTTTAAGTAAGTTATGAATGAGTAAATAGGCAATTATTATTATTATTTTTTCTAATAAAATATGCATAGTTCCCGTAGTTTATTTACTTTGAAACCTGACATTATTCATTTGTGAGAAATTTTTAACAAAATCTATTATAATTTTACTTGATGCTGCCTGGAAGTGGAATGGAGAATACGCGTTTCTTTCTACTTGGAACTTGTCAGCCGGATATGATCTGAACATCACTGAGTTATTCATTAACTTTAATAGTAGTAGCATCTGCAATATGTGATGAGTCATTCCTGTTATTACATGTATTGTGTGGTGGTTGATTCATTGAACAGAGATCCCGTGATCAATCTCTCCTTCCACCTAGTTATATTAGGTTTTAGAATTGTCACCCTATAACGTGATTATGGACTTTGAAGTGAAGACAGGAGTAAGACAAGGCTGCCGCCTACTATCATCCATGATTTTCCTGATTGCAGTGGACTGAATAATACAGCGAACCGTAAGGAGCGAGAAGATTGGCATACGATGGCTGGACCGATGAAAAGACCCCAGAAGAAAATTTGGATTTCACCGATAATTAATGTTTAATGTCTTGTCACACAAACTCGAAGATCTACAGGCGAAAACTAACAAGTCGACAAAAAAGGCAGGGCAGCGAAAATGGAACTTCAACATAGAGAAGACAAAGATGATGAAGATACCCAATGAACAACAGCATGAATAACAAGCGGTATCAATCACCATCAACGGGAGAAATCTAAAGGAAGTAGTCTCTTTGACCTACCCACCTACCTAGGCAACATCGTTTTAACTAGAGGCGGCACAGACGATGTCAAAACCAAGATCGGAAAGATAGCAAGACAGGCTTTCATTAATCTGAAATCAGTGTGGAGATCTACTGCACTCAGCATAAAGCGCAAACGAGATCCGGATTTTCAACACTAAAGTCAAGTCTGTGCTTCTATATGGTTTAGAGACTCGGCGCATTACGAAAAGCATTTCCAAAAAACTACAGACATACATCAACAGCTGCTGCCTACGCTGGCTGGATACTGAAGATCAGATGGATGACCAGAATAATGAGAATAAGCAACAAGGAACTCTGGCTGACTGGTAACGAACTAACCAAGAACCTATCACCCAACAAATATGCAGAAGAAAGTGGAGGTGGATTGGATTGAACATCCACTGAGAAGACCGATTGGGTACATCACGTGCCAGACCGTCGAGTGGAATCGAGAGGGGAAACAACGAGTTGGGCGTGTGAGCGGAGAGTGATATGGAGGAGATAGTGTGAGGAAGAAATGAGAGCTTGTGGGCAGTCATGGAGCCGGGTTGAAAAGACTACAGAGAAGAGAGTGCAATGGAGGCTTGCTACTGAATCCCTATGTTCCACTAGGAACCCAAAGGAAAAATAATAATAATATAGTATGATTATGAGTCAGTCCATGCGCAGCGATAGCCGAGTTTCTCTCTTAATTACATATGTTAGTAGTACCTACCATTGTTTGCTTCGTTAAATGTTTGTGTTCTGCTGTTCTGACTGACCCAGATCGGCTGATATGACCTATATAGTTGACCTCAGAATCATTACATGATATTTAATAAATTAGGTTATTCTTTCGAACAGGCTCTTCTGGATCTTTTAGCCCACAAAGTTTCTCTCGGATGAAATTTTTGGCTTAAAATGCTACTCTAATCCCAATAATTCACATTTACCTTCTGTATATAGCAAAACTACAGAGGATTTGAATTCCTTCTCAGCTATGTTGCAGCCGCCATTAACATCACCATTCTTTCTCTTATCAGTCCTTATAAACGTTTTATTAAATTAAGGAGGGTAGTCATTAAAAATTAGTGTCTTATTAGTAGATTTCAATTCCTTAATTAGTTTTTCTGACTTACTAGGCAAATTCCTAGCCCGGTTACTTTGACATTTTATCAAGCCTACCTTAATAGATGGATTTGGGGTGAGATGATATGAAATCCAAGTATTTATTTGAATATGTTGGTTTCCTATAAACACTAGTATCTAAACTTCGATCTTCTTTTCTCCTAATTTTGCAATCCAATAAAGGGGTAATTCTCCCTTTTCATTTTCGAATTCATAATTGAATTGGATTGCATCTACTATCAAGTTAATGTTATGCGAAAAAACTCTGAATATGTTGTTATTTCAGCACAGTAAATGTGTCATCTACACTACATATCGCCATCATACTTTTGGGGTGAGTTAAAATGTTCCTAATACTATTTGTTCCCAGCTGTCGATAAATATGTCAACTACGATCGGAAATATTACAGATCGCCATCGCTACTCTTTCTGTCTACTTCTATATTTTGTCTTGAAACTTGAAAACTGTGGGAGTTAAACACAAATTTATCCCCAGCATAATTTCTTCAATGGAAACTCTAGTTCTGTTACTGAGTTCATGATCAGTTGTGAGGTTCATTTCTGACTGCTTTAACTGCTATATTAATTGGTATATAGGTTTGTCACATCAAAACTGACCATCTTTTCTCCCTCGTCTAATTGTATATTATTTAGTCTGTGTTTCAATTCGAGTGAATTGGTGAGCCTAGATTTTGAGCGACTCCTAATAGACAGGGTATGGTTTTGTAGATAAATATTTAGATAACTCATATGTTGGTGTGTTTCTAAAATCAACTATTTGAGAATGTTTGGGATGCGATTTTCACCACCCAAATGCAAATTTTTGCTCCAGGACTGGTCTTCAGCGGTACCGCGGTTAACAGTAGAGAGTGAAGTGGTTGAGTGTGTTGACCACTTCACTTACCTGGGAAGTAGGATCAACCCCGGTGGGTTAGTTGCCGATGAGATTTCTGCACGGATACAAAAGGCTCGATTGGCTTTTGCCAATTTGCGCCACCTATGGTGCCGCCGTGATATCCGTTTGTCTATTAAGGGTCGCGCGTACTGCACAGCAGTCCGGTGTGTTGTACTGTATGGCTGTGAAACATGACTATTGAAGGTGGAAGACATGAGAAGGCTGGCTTCAGGTGTTTGACCACCGTTGCCTTCGTAGTATAAGACGTATTCCATGGTGTCACCATGTGAGTAATACAGAAGTCAGGTGTAGAGTTTTGGGGAGAAGAGGTAAGTGGGTTGACGAGGTTGTGAACCTTCACCGATTGAGATGGTTGGGACACGTACTACGTATGCCTAATCACCGATTGCCTCGTCACAGAATATTGGCTGAGGTGGGTCTAGGCTGGAAAACGGCCCGAGGTGGCCAGACTAAAACATGGCACCAATGTATGAAGTCTCTGACTGTTGGTTTAAGCCATGTGGGGCGATGCAGACTAGTTGGTTGGGGTCGGCGGGACAAGAGGAACCAGTGGCTGGAGACCCTAGGTGATATGGCTCAGAACCGATGTGAGTGGCGCAGATGTATACACACATTATCCTCATCTTAACAACTCCATACCGAATCTCACCATTTTGTCACTCCTCTTTCCTTTCTTCTCGTACTTTATATTTCTTTTGACTGCATTCACTTATCTTCATCCTTCACCTCACTACCTTTCTACTTGATGAACTGACGTGAGGTGTGGCAACTCGGACCGTTAGGCAGTAATGCCTGGTCCTATGTTGATAATGATGATGATGAAAGTCAACTATTTGTCTAATAGGATAACCTGTTTTATGAACCTTAATGGCACCATACATTCTACTAGGATTATTAGTTTTAAGCATTAAGCTAAACTACTGAGACTCACTCAGAAATCGCTTCAATCGGCATATTAGATATATACTGTGTCACTGTATGCTATATCAAATAAACAATCTAATATGGAATTATACTTCACCACAGTGCCCAACTTTTTCTTTTACATTAATAGAAAAATCTATTAGTCTTCAAGATAGTACTCTCTATTAAGTGATATCAGTTGTTATACCACTGAAAAAAATTGGAGCATTGAACAGCTGTTTCGTCCTAGTATGGGGCTCCTCAGCAGCGCGTACCCATGATCTTATCAGGGACCTATTAGTTCTTATAAAATAAGGAACAGCTTAGTGAAGTCAAAAATACCTTAATTTTCTAAAAGTCACCCTAGTGTAATGTTCTATGAGCTAGTTCTTACATAGGTAAAGACTCATGTTGAAGTGTTTCAACATTTGAAAGGAGTGAAGATCAATAACTTTTATGTTTGAAATATACCCATAATGACTTGATTTTCAGTCTCCTCTACTCCTCCCCCTTTCTTCTCTTCATCTTTCTGTTTCGACATTATTCACTTCTTAAGTAATTCGCTACTCATTCTTGTTGCTGTTTTGCCTGATCACAATTCAATTTCCGAACTTCTTGTTCAAACTTATTTTGATTAGTATTCACTACTCATCAGTTTTTGGTTGTTGTTTTTTTCTTTCTGACTGACAGGTCATTTATTGACACTGTTTGTGTTTCCATGCTTGGAAAACTTTTTTTAACTATCAGATTCTTAGACTAGGAGAAATGTATAAATTTACGATTTTACAGCTTTGAAAATGAAATCGCTGAAAAGAGACTCTTCACTGAAACATATCTGTTCTTCCTTCAAACCTTTGATGTTGTCGAATCAGTTATCTTGATCATGCAATATAGGTCTTCATATCTCGGTTAAGTGTTTAAATTTACTGAAGTTTTCTTATGACTTTTTAATAAATGAGTACCGATAACCAGGAGATGTAAGTCCCTGGTCTACCTGCCAATCGACTTCTAAAATCAAAGACAAAGCGATTGCATCTCAGTAATTAGTAATTTTATTCATTCATTCATTCATTGTTTAGGTCCTAAACCTGTTCATCAATGTACAGATCCCAAAGATTTACTGGCAGATCCGTCGTATCTACAATGGTAATTAATATGTATTGTAAATACTTACTATTATCATTATTGTTTTGATAATTTCTCTTATGATGACTGTTTATCTTTTTGTAAGTCGATACATTTACGCGTTAATAAAGTGTCTACCAGCAGGAGCAAGAGAGGTGGATTTAGTCAAATAAAAGTAGGTGGACATACCTAGAAGTGCAAAGGCTCGTATGCAGATACATTGGCTCACTTTTCAAGACTACCTAAACAGAGGAACAAAATCAACACAAAAGCATAGAAATCAAAGTGAAAATGAAAGATTTTAGTGTATAAGAGATAAATATAAAAAAAAGTAATACAAGTGAAAACATTTTTATCTGTGATACAATGAATGTTTTTGAAACTTGTAACTGAGTGTCCGTCTACAATCAACAATTTTCAATCTCCGTCGAAACTCATCAAGTAAACGTACATAATTTGGCACACTTCACACTAATCGTCAAAATATTTAAAGACCAGCGTTATGATTCATTAATGCTATCCTATAGCTCCCCTGTCCATACTTTCACACCCATCAGAACTGTATGTTGGGGCTAGTGTACTGGTAGGTTGACAACATGTACTCACCAGTTACATCAACGTTTGTGCAGTGTGCAATAAGCTATATTTGTTGTGTAAGGACTAATAATACTATCTGGTTTCCCTGACGTCGGTATGCTAGACTGGGGTTCGAGCCTGTGACCCATCTGTTGAAAATCATGTGCCCTGGACCAATGAGCCATAGCTCCACAACATGACCACTGAGGTGTCCAAAACAACGACGAAATAATTTACTAGTGATGCTTGGTTTGTGTATGTTTCTACTTCAGATAATTTTGTTCTGCTAAAACTGTCATCAGTTAGCCAACACCGCTGAGTTGTCTTTTCACTAATTTATCACTTTTTCATAATTGTGATCAAATTGTTGTCGTAAAACTCAATAGGTTGGATTACTGAATTAAATAGAGCAACCTTGAATCCACCACATATACCAACGCGTCAAACTTCTATACACTGGTGAGGATAATAGAAGATTCGAGAGGAACGGAACTAATGTTTTACAGCGTTGAATAACACGGCAATGCATCTGTATCAGTGCTATCTGTTTAGATTAAAGTTTTTTTTATCTTGCTCAGAGTGTCCCAGTCACCATATTCAGTCAGTTAGCATCGACGTGGGATCTGGCAATATTGTGTAGCTGTCCATGTTGTTACATCTCTTATCAGAATATTGAAGTATAAAACATCAAGATGAAAGACACGGAAACAAGAAAATAGTCAAAGTGGTAGGAATTCGTGAGAAAAAGGAATTAACCAACGATGAAATTCGGTGTAATGATTAAAATGATAATGTCTTGGTTCATCTTCGTCACTGACATCGATTCTGAGCCATATGATGTAGAGTCTGAGATTACCGATCCTGCTGATCATGATCATACAGACACTAATTGACTGACTGACATCAATGTAGAACCTCGTTTTTAGGTGCATCGGCCTAAGTTGCCACACTTCACAGTAGTAAAAAAAAAAGAACAGGTGGTGGAAATAGAGTGATATCAAAGTAGGGAGAGTTGTGTGAGAGCATAAAAAATCTGAAGATAAAGCCTAATACAAATGTTCAAGCTTTAGAAGATATCAGGGAGCGAATACAGCTGCGCCATTGTGACCGACTCTCTCCCATGTCGCCAAGAGCTCTAAGCCACCGATTCCTATTGTCTCAACCCAGCAGTCTACATCTGCCCACATGGCTTAGGCCAACAGTCAGGGATTTCATCGATTGGCATCATCCTGAACCTCCTTCCAGCTTAATCCAACGTCCCCTAGCATAGAATGTCGAGGTAGGCGATGGGTCGGCAAACACAGTACAAGTTCAAGCCGTCTCAGTCAAATCCACAATCGACTTGTCTGTCTTGTTTAGTGCCTCTCTCATTACCTCAACATTACTCGCACGGTGATTTCACCAAACACGAGTTATGCTACGAAGACATCTACGATCAGAACCCAGTAATCGATCCATGTTTTCTGCTTGTATCGGGAATGTGTCACAGCTATACAGCCGGACAGAATGGATAAATAGTCGGATATCTCGCCAGTCGGCGCCACAGGTTACGCAAGTTGGCAAATGCCGAAGGATTCTTCTGTATCCGAGCTCAGACTCCGTCAGCAACATGTGCGATTCTCTCAGTAAGTGAAGTGATTGACACATTCCCCCACTCCACCACCTATCATTAAATTGGAAGTGGTTTCAGACCACTTCTGGATTACCATCTTACATTTGACAGGTGTGAGACGCATCCCAACCATACTCAGATTTATGGCAGACAGTTATGGACCACATGTACTGATGCCACATTCTTTTCTGAATAATTTTAACTTTTTTGCCATGACCGGTAGTGCGACCTAACAGTCTTTGAGCGATACAAGAGTGATACACAAACGAATTGACTCTAACCGCTAATAAGAACGTCAACCACCACAACAGTAATACCACCGACACGCGAAGATAAGAAGAGAAGATGGACCGTTTTTTAGAGAGCTTTTCGTGTCTCAACAGCAGTGAAAACAGTTGATGGCCATGCTGAATATATACATTTCTGAACGACCTAGACAACCCTAAATCCGCGTGTAAGGTTGAAAGAGTTAACAACCGATGACAGTTTAGCCTTCAGAGCAGTAAGAAAACAAAAGCTAGCAACAGTGTTAAAAAAGCAATGATAAGTTATTTTAAGGTTATAGGCAAACATCAAGCAAAAGTCATGCATTTTTCCAACCCAAACCTGCTTCGGTTAACATCGCAAGGCATGACAGACAGTGACTAGGTATGAGTAACATATCCCAACCATCTCACTCAATGAAGGTCCACAATCTCATCGATCCACTTACCTTTCTGACATAAAGCAATACGCTTAGCTTCTAGATTATTGATGAGTTGGTTCCACGAAACACTGCCTATGTCATCAGGACAACTGTAGTCGAAAGCCTAAAGTCTTCTTATTTCCTCTAACTTTAATTATTATGTTTCACGACCATTTGGTAAAACAACGAACTGTAGTATAGTTACCTAGATGTCTATTAGGTAGTCGTATATTACGGCGGTGCTATAAATAGCGTAAGATGGCGAGGATCAATCGAACGTTTTGTATTCGTGCTCAGATTTCTTCGGGCGTTGACGCGCCAGGGCTGATTCAACTTTCAAATTAAGCGAAGTGGTAAACGCGCCCAGCTTTTCGTTCCCTTTTGTTGGATGCAGACCAGTTTTGAAGCAAGAATTTGCTTTTTGTCAGCATTTTCATCCGAAAGAGCTATATCGTCTGCAGGCTTTGTGAATACTAAGGCGTCACCTGTGGCCATGTTGATCCCTGTAAAATTAGACTAAGAGAGAGGGACGTCCATAAGCACAACTTTGAAAAAACTAAGTGAAATTGGAGTGTAAATCCTTGACGAACGCTAATAGTTATTTTAGACTTATAATGACTCACATCTCAAGCTACTTCCTCCTATCTTGTGACTTGTCCCGGTTCATTCACATGTCTCTTCCTTCTCAATCACCACCTGTTGACCAAGCCGTTGACTAGTTTACCTTCCTTTCATTGAATTTTAGGTCTTAGTTGATAATTGCAGACTTATTCATTTCATCGTATATCAGTGATGATGACCCACTTAACACCGATGATCTCATATCCGTGATGTCTTCATATTATCAATTTTTCTTCATGTTGTCATCTAACTCCATAGCAAAACGGGAGATTAACATATTCCTATAAGCTATGAAATTTTTTGATCTTTTACTGGGTAAAATAAGTTTTGCCTGCAAACATCTTTAAAGTGTCATCTGAATTATTGTTATTTGTACTGAAATGCTTTTAGAAGACATTAAAGCAAGGACTGGCTGAATAAATGTTCATTCACAGTGGTTGAGTTCATAAATTTTTTTAACTGAATGAATTCTGATGAAGAGAAAAGGTAGCCAACTAACCATATTGTATTTATTTTAGACGTAATGAACTTAATAGTATAATATCAATGTTACAACTCACCTGTTTAATGCTGGTGTATGTACCAGTCTGTGAGCTCTGTATCCCACATGTGATAACCTGCGATATTTGTTACTCTAGAAGATTAATTTGGTAAAGCTTTCATCATCATTCTAGATAACATCATCATCACAAACTTCAGAAAGAAGTGAGCTCTAGGAATTCTTCTACAAGTCGCTTGTTAGTTTGTTATGATGATCTAGGGTGTGATTAGTTCTTTCTGTTATAATATTTTTGTTGTCTACGCACTTATTTCCTTCAGCTTTCCTGCTGATATTCTTGTTGTTGTTTATGTTTCTTACCAATCGATACTGATGATGGAGGATAAGTTACGACGAGTAGAACTAACGTTTTCGATAACAGTTACTCTAGGACGAAACTATGAATCGACCGATATTCAGTGAGACTAAATATCACGTTATTGTATATCGTTCTATGCTAAAGGTTTCTGATTTGTTTGAGTTGACATATTACTATTCGATAATTTTAATCTCTTTCTCTTTACTTTCTTTCTTCTAATAGGTTACTATGTTCACCATTAAAACGATATGTAAGCCTTTTATGGGAGCGTTTACAGTCTGGCCGACTTTCTTTGCACCGTCATACATTCGATTCTGGTAGAAAGATTATATTCGGTCGTAGTCTAATATTATCTCCATCCTTAGCATCATTCATGGGTACCGATTACTCAAATTCATCAGCTAATCCATTTAATACAATTCCAACAAAGACAGTGTATGGAGAAGTGTTTTCATCATTTACAGAAATTGTTAATCCATTGTTTGGTTCACGATCAAATTCACGAAATATGTTTGAAGTACAATGTGAAATGCCTATTTGGCCTGAATCACGTCCTCAAGGTATAATGTTGGCAAATCTTAGAGAGCATCGTGCAGGTATGATAAGGTAATTACACTTAGACTGTTCTATGTCATGCTCAATGATGTTTATTATTATTAAAATAAAATATGTACCACTGAATAAAATAATTTTGAATAATTGAACTAACTGAACTCAGTGATCCCATATTAGATTTGTTTATTCGATTTATAACACACAGTGATATAGTATTATTTACTTTATGATCATTGCTCATAATCATATCAATGTAATCACTCCACTTTTAACAGCTGATTTTTATAGTCTTGTCAACTCATGTTCTGTGTTTCTATTGTGAGTAAAATATTCCACATCTGTTGTATATGTATGGCGTCATTCCCATTACGTGTTGCGTATTGATCCGATGAACAAAGATTCAGTAATCAACCTCTCTCTGTCCATTTAATTATATTGAACTTTTATCCCACTCAGCCTATTGTGTAGTTGCGTGTAAACAGTGCACAGTACAACAGCCGAGTCCTTTTTTCTAGATTATTGACCTTATCCAGGTCTGTCATTCTACAATTAGCTAAATTCCCATGTTTCACTAATATAACTGATCGCGATCGGCTAGTTTCACGTGTGTATTTGATCTCATAATCATGGCATCGAATTTGGTAGATTAGATTAGTTTGCTTAATTGGATCTATTGGAGGTTATCTCTGAGTTAGTTTGTGAGTTTAAGTGTCACCCTAATTCCATTTTTTTGAGGATCGTACGTTAATTTTCTGATGTACCTTCCTTCTTGGGTAACACAATGTAGGCTGCGAACTCTTTGCTACTTGTGTTGCCGTCGTTATTCGTACTTGTGTTACTGTTATTATTTCGCTTCTCCCGTGTTTGCATGAAGAAGGATAACTATTAATAGAGTTCACAGCCCCCATTGTGTTACCCTATAAGGAAGTTACATCAGGAACTTTATGTAAGATCCTCAACAAGGCTGGAGTTAGGGTGGCATTTAAACCGACAAACTCACTAGGAGATAAGCTTTGTCGGCTGGCTTAAGGATCCTACAGGACCAATTCAACAAAATAATCTTATCGATCAAATCCCATGCAGTGACTGTGAGGTCAAGCACATAGGTCAAACTAACCGGTCGGAGTCAGTTAGAATAGAAAAAACACAGGAATGACAGACTCAAATAAGATCACTAATCTAGAAGGTAACTCGACTATTGCAATGTATGCATTAACACACAACCACACAATAGGGTGTGTGGGACAAAACCACTGTACTTCAGTCCAAAATAACTAGGCGGAGAGAGGGAGAGATTGATTACTAAATCTTTATTCACCGAATCAACACACACCCAACACATGTAATAGAAATGACCGTAACACCTATCTCAGAGAAATTTTTACTATCATTAGAAACAAAGAATAAGAGGTGGTGAATATGAGTGATAATAATTTATGCTCGAAGCGTCATGATATCATATATCATTGTGTGTTATAAATAATATAAACAAATCTAATATGAAATTAAATTCTACCACAGTGTCCATGTTTTACACTTATATTAATGAACCTAGATGTATTACTGATAAACTCGACTCTGAATAAGATGAACAACTGTTCAGTGCTTAGCTCCATTATAATCTCAAATAGTTCATGTCGATCAGTAGGCTACGCTCTGTACTGTTTTTCATATTTACATCCTTTTTTTAAGCTTAGAATATTACCGACGCATCGGTTTATTATCGAGTAATTGATGTATTTTTTTTTAACAAACAGAACATCTTCATGTTAAGTCATAGAATAAAGACATATTTACCAAGACTGTACAATTATATTTATAAGGATTGAATATTACTTATCGCTTTACAAACATTCTCTTAATGAAAACTATTGGCTTCGTATGCGACTACAATGAATCCAGTGACTTAAATATTCCTATAGTTGTCAACTGTTTGAAAGAACTACTCAGATTCATCTTCAACATCCAGTTCAAGTTCAGTAAAGGAATATGCTTACATAAAGATATCGTGGCAATCAGGTACCTTCTTGGTCCACTTCTCTTGTTAATTGTTTCATAGCTTCATACAAGAGTAAAACTTGTGCACTATGATAGGGTGTAATTCCATTTTTATTGATTTATTATGTTCATCACAGTGAATGTGAACAGTATTTTTTTATTAGATTACGTTCTGGACATAATTTATTACCTATAGTCGTCACATCAAGATAAGTAATTCTACAACTTTGAGATATCCTTTACATAGTCCTAATTTCCTCATTCCCTTTATTATGTGGGTAGTATAATTTTCCATATATCCGGAACAGATGTTGAGTTATTCCCTGTTGGATGTATTAGGTGTTGTTTCGAAAAACAAGGCTTCAATTAGGTCAGCATTGGCTGATCCTAGTAAGGTTAGGGATTTAGAAAAAACCTCAGCCATAGCTATCCATTCAATTATACACAACCACATAATAGAATGAGGCGGTGGAAATCCTTAAAAGTAACATAGACGGGTAGAGGGTGAGATTGATGACTGAATTTTTGTTTATCGCAGCAACACCTAATGTACATGCAATAAAAATGACTTAGCACCTGCTCCAGAAAGTGATTTTGAGGGTGAATTTAAAGGCGGCCACTCTAGCAACTGACGTGATAACCTATCGCATTCTTTTATTTTATGGAAAAGTACTTTCCCAGGTGAAATATCAGAGCCTGATTGGTTATTTTAATTGTTGCTAGGGTGGGATTTAAAGTCGTACGTTCTGAATATACACAAAATCTCACTACCCATATCACAAAGCAGGCGAACTAATTAGGACTATATAAAAAGGATGTCTCAAAGTTGTAGAACTTACTTATCTTGATATCACTATAGGTAATAAGTTATATCCAAATCATGATCCAGTAAACAATACTGTTCATTCAATGTGTGATAAATGTAGTAAATCAATTAAAATGTTTCATAACTTATTTTGAAAATAATATCTCTAATCATCTAATCAATGTTGATGAAATTTTTACCATATATGACGAATAATTTCACTTCCAATACTGCCTATTCATGTTTAACATTCACGTTAGAATGTGAATGAAATTTGATGTTTCCATCCTATTCAGAGATCAATGTACCGAAAACTATCAGGGGCTGAACAAATTCAAGTTTCAAATTCTAAGTTTATGTTTCTCCTATTAGCAAGTAGGACCTTTCATGATCATTGTGTTCAAGGATCTGGAAGATTTGCACTAAATAGTGAGCTGAAGTTTCAAATAAGTATCCTATTAGAAAATGGATATATATCTGAATTCATCAACATCAATTACAAAGGTTATCAACCGTTTAAAAAAAACCCTCTAAATGACCCCGGAAGTCAATGGTAACATTGCAGCTAAAAATCGCCTCTCAACATCTTTCTGAAAGATACTTCACAATGTGTTAAGGATAGAATATTATTTTTATCAACCTCAATAGGTATCTACCAGTTTACTTGTTCCTGTGGGGCGACCTACATTCGAAATGGTGTCACCAATCTTGTGGATATTCATATATCACCACCCACTGAGCTACACCTATTGTGTGAGAGGACTAATGACTGATTGACCAAACGTCGGTAGATTGAGTGGTCTTCGAATCTGTAACATGTTGGTTGAAAGTCAACTGTCTAAACCAATGAACTACTACACTGGCTATGCACAAAGTGAAACATACTTCTGAACACTCTTGACTTTGTTTATCTAAGAAGTTGGAAGAAGGAATACCAATAGCTTTATTCTAGCATATCTCGTCATCTCCGGAAATGTAACCGCTCCCAGTAGTTTCTTCAAAGTAATTTGCAGAGTGCCTCCTTATAATACCAAAGACCTTCGAGTGCATCATCTATGCATAACCAAATCATTGACAATTCATTGATTTCAACCTGATCTTTGTATTCGACAGAATTACGTGCAGTCAGCAGTTTACCATGGCCAGGGTGGTAATTTTCTTCTGTCTTTAGAAACTTGGATATTAAAATAACATATATATAAATATATAAATATATAAATATATATATATATATATATATATATATATATATATATATATATATATATATATATATATATGGTAGAAGGAAATGCAATAAATAAGAAACATGACAGCAAACTTTAATTAATTAGATAGATGCCAAAGCAGAAATATAATGCCTGAGCACGTTTCTTCTGAATACGAAGTTCAAGTATGACCAATGTTATTGCCATAGCCTCAACATGTTTTCACTAGACGTTGACAAGCTTTACATCCTATTAGCATTTATGTGATGCCCTTTGTGTACCAGACGCGCTAAAATAGAACATTTTACCACCACCACCACCACTACGATTTCACTGAACGGTCACTGGAGAGCAACCAGTTTCATGTTGTCCAGTCCTTTGTAATGACCGAATCCTATAAATTCATTTTTGAATGTCGCTCATCATCGCGGTGCTCTTTAATTATTGTTAGTTGGCTAGAGGCAATCAACAGGAAGCCCAGGACCTAAGTTTCGTTCTTGTTGGCACTCATCAGAGAGGTGTATCTGCAATCTCTAGGGAACTGATGTCGCCTATGAGATTTGGACCCATACCACTCGGCGACATTAGCAGTGAGCTATTCGGTTCAGCTTTTAAAATGTATTCAATGAATTATGAAGAAGCATCGTAGAGTTGTAACTGTCATGTCTTGTGAACTTCATGGTCTTTATACTTGACCGAGAGTTTTCGTTTTCACTTTCAGTTTAGCAACTCATAGTTCTGGCAGATTGTTAGCATCATGCTCCAGTGGTGATGGATCAGTGAAATTATGGAATTGTGGATTTTGGCCGACGGAATCTGATGGTTATTTAGATCAATCAACTACTGGTAATCATTCTGGACGTATCAATAGTACATCATCTGAATTCGGTATCCAGAAATCAATGAATTTAAAGAATTCAGATATTGGTTTAGCGTATTGCTTACCAACACGGTCATCGTGGACATTCAATTGTACCGGGCAAGATTTAAGTGATTCATTGTTTAAATCATGTCGAGTAAGCTTTAACATAAATATTGTGCTACTTTTGATAATAACAATATTATAACAGTTTTTTGTTTACTGACAGAAACCAAAGAATACAACAGACAAATAGATCTTGAGTGTAAAACACATGTTGAAAAATGGATGTATGTATGCTATTAAGAAAATAGTTTTAGGCCATTCTAGCTATTGTCATCAAGTACTAGTTTCTATGTCTTCTAAATTTTTATTCGTCCCTTGGGTTTCTAGTGGAACATAGGGCTTCAGTAGCACATCGCCATTTCACTCTCTTCTCTGCAGTCTTTTGAACCTGGCACCACGACACCCCAGAAGCTTTCATTTCTTCCTCACATAATCTTCTCCATATCACCCTCGGACGGGACGCCCAACTAGTCGTTTCCCCTTTGGATTCCACTTGACGGTCTGGCGCATGATGTCCCCTAACGATCTCAGTGTATGTCCAATCCAATCCTCCTTCACTTCCTTCTGCATATTTGTTGGGCGATGAGTTCTTGGTTGATTCGTTGCCAGCCAGAGTTCCTTGTTACTTATTTTTATTCTGGTCATCTAATCTTTAGTATCGAGTGAATGTAGGCGGCAGCTATTGATGATGTATGTCTGTAGTTTGTTTGAAATGTTTTCCGTAACGCGCCGCCAAGTCTCTCAACTATCACACAGAAGCACTGACTTGACATTGGTATTGAAAACCCGGATGTTGTTCGCGCTTTATGCTGAGTGCAGTAGATCTCCACACTGATTTCAGATTAATGAAAGCCTGTCTTGCTTTGACGTCCTCGTCTGTGCCGCCTGTAGTTGAGACGATGCTGCCTAGATAGGTAGGTGGATAGGTGAAAGAGACTACTTCCTCTAGGTTTCCCCTGTTGGTGGTGATTGGTGCTTGTTGTTGTTGACTGGATGTCTTCATCACCTCTGTCTTCTCTACGTTCACCTGAAGGGAGTCCCATCTCCGCTGCCTCTTCTGTCAACTTATTAGTTTTCGCCTGTAGATCTTCGAGTTTGTACCACAAGACATTAGGTATAAATCATCATCGGTGAAATGCAAATCTTCTAGGCTCTTTTCATCGGTCAAACAGTGTATGCTTATCTTCTCGCTCTTCACAGTTTGTTGCATGAGCCAGTCCAGTCGACCACAATCAGGAAGATGATCAGGAATAGTAGGCAACCTTGTCTCACTCCTGTCTTCACTTCAAAGGTGTCACTGAGCCTTCCATTCTGAATCACTTGGCATGTAGCATAGCATATAGCTGTTGAATGAGGTTGATAATTCACTGACGGTTTAGAAGCAGCTGAACTTCATTATCTGGTATGTTTATGAAAAGTCATTGATTGAGGTGGTTGAGAAATGTTACATATGCCTAATTATTATCTACTTTAATGTATCATGATGACTTCCAACCTAAAATCAGTTACTAAACTCCACAAACCTTCAGATACAATTAGTCTAGCGCTCATTGGGGACTAGCTTCTAGAGGAGGATTCTTGAAGTTCTAATGAGAAGTTGTGACCATGGGAGTCAACCAAGTTGAACATGAGGACAGTTATTCAACGACGACATTGAATGCAGGTCGCGCTATATTATGAACTGACAGAAGTAGGAAATATGGACCACTGGATTCCTATCCAGTGGCTAGCTCAATGGTAACGTGCGAGTCACGGAACCTGAAGGTCCTGGTTTCGATCTCTGGTGGGGCGGGGTCATGGGTACTCACTGCTCAAGATTCCCATACCAGTGGGACGAAATAGCTGTCCTGTACTCCCAGATTTCCAATGATCCTGCAACTGATATCAGTTCATGATGAATTCCAACTTAAAATCAATTAACAAGCCTTAACTAGAGTAGTTGTGAAATGGGAAAGAATTCTGTGACTGTCCGTTTCAACCACAGCACTATTTTCAATCCACGGTCTGAGTTATGTTATCGATGGACAGACAGGCAGGCAGACAAAATCAGCGTACAGCCTCACGTAATAAGGCTTTGGTTCATTTCGCTACACTTCACAGTTGTATGCAAAGAAAAAGTGAGTAGAGAATGAATGGACTCAAAGTAGACAAGGGTGTACGGGAGGAGAGGTAATCTGAAAATCGAGGTTACTGGAAATATTCAAGTTCTTGAGGACGTCTAAGAGCAACTACATCTGTACAAATGTAAACGACTTTCAGCCATATTACAGAGAATATCTTACCATTGATTCATGTCATCTCGACGACACCAACCAGGTGTTTGACACTCCCGTACACGACTCATCACTACCGTGGCTGACATCACATATCAAGAGAGACGGTCACTCGGCGGATTCAACACATCTCACGCCACCTAATTCTGTCAAGATTCACAACCTCACTGCCTGACTTACCCTTCACCCAACCTCGGCATTGCTCACACGGTGATTCCAACATATACGAGAAACACTAAGAAGACATGTGCATTCGAAAACGTGTAGTCCCTTCACATCTACTTTCAATGGTCATCTCTCACGGCTGTATAACGGAACAGACTGCGGCGTACTATACTCGTTCCTTATCAGGTAGTCGGATATGTCGTCAGCTGATTCCTGGAGATGACGCAACTTGGCAAATGCCGAACGGGCCTTTCGCATCTGAGGTGAGATTTTGTCAGAAACCAGCCCACCTGAGCTGACGTAACTTGCCGAGTTAGTGAAATGGTCAACACACTACTGTTTCGCTCCCCATCCTTGAACTGGAGGTGGTTACACGAACCTGTCTTGAACTATCGTCTTACATTTGAAAGGTATAGACGTATACTAAACATATTCATATTTCTGCTGGAATCTTTCAGAAGACTCAGCATTTTGTCAGCGTCTTTGCTCAATAGGACAACGTAATCTGCATACTCCAAGTCGACAAAATGCTCTCCAGGGCGTAAGTCAATCCCTGTAAAATCATATGCACCTAAGGTTACATTCATTATTATATCTAGAATGAAATTAAACAGGAATGATGACAATGGGAATCCCTGACGAAAACCACTGCTTGTCGTCGATTCTGATGACAACTCGTCGTAAGCCTCAATGTGGTTGCTTGAGTTTGAGTAGAGAACTTTGATCGACTTTACATACTTTCTCGGTCGAGAGAGTCGAATGCCACCTTCAGGTCAAGAGATTCCACAATTGTCGACCTCTGGTAAATATGTCTGGGTTCTATATCCTGACGAAGGGTAAAAATTTGATCTATGCGCCCTCAACCGGACCTGAAACCTGTTTGGCTTTCTTGGGTTTGCTGTCCTGAAACTCCAGTTAGGGATCGGATAACTACGGACCCTAAGATCTGGGAAATGATATTAGTTAAGCTGATCCCCCTATGATTTTTACAAGAGGACTTCTCTCCCTTCTTATAGACCGGGACGGTCAGTGAAGTACACCAGTGTGACGAACTATCTGTGATTCCCGTACACTAGCACCTCCGTTAGTCTACCCCATTCGTAAAAGCTTTTGGAGGTAAACCGTCAGGTCCAGCTGCTTTGCATCGTTTCAGATCTGAAACAGCTTTCTCAACTCCGACAAGAGTTGGAAGATGGATATCTACGTCTCATCCAGGCTCGGGTTAGATTCTAGGTAACTGAGGGGTTGCTTTGACCCATTTGAACTGTGTGGAAAGGTGTTTTACTGTCTATCCTGGAAAGACTCTTAGTCAGTTTACTTTTTAGCCCCTTCCAGTTTTCTTTGTGGTCAGAGCAATCTGGAATGAGGCTTCTTAAACATCAGTCAGTTCAGATGGAGTTACGGAGATCCACCGGTGTTTGCTGAACATTTTATGTAGCTTACCAACCGTTTTTATCACTGTTTGTACGGCAGACTGAATACTATACCAGGCTGCATCAGAATGAGCATTGTTGTCATATTCAGATAAATGTTTGGCTATCTCCTTAAATACACATTCGACCTCGTCATCCTCCAATCAAGCACACACATGCCCCATTATCTCATCTTTCCTGCAGCCATTGAGGTGCAAACATACACGTGCTCATACTAACGCGTGATCAAAGTTCAAGCAGATACTCCAGAAATATCGGCAATCCTCCACTGATCCTCTTTAATAGTGACAATAAACTCTGTTTTCTTCTATCATTGGCTTGGTATCGTTAGATGTCAAGTGAGATAGTGTATCTCTATATGCTTGAAGTCAATGGGGACCGGAAACAATGTCAGAACATAGTTGCAAAAGATGACCATCCTTCTCAGTGTGTTGGCATGGGATTCCGTAGATACCTTGAAGATTTTCTCAGCTTTCATAATTGAGTTATGAAGTCACCTCCTACTGTGACTATATCTGGGCATTTTATTTTATTGAACAAAATCGGCAGTTTTTGATAGAACTCATCTTTTGTATCATCTGAACTGCTGTCAGTTGGTGGGCGGGGATTGTGATAGGGCATCAGCTTGTCTCAAGATCCTTCTTAGTTCTTACATATCTATTCTGTTGGTCAGCACGTAGGCTGCTGTTGATTAGTATCTAGTGTAAAAGTGCACTTCTCAGAAACTTGATGCTTTACCTACACCAGCTAGTCCATGAGAGCTAGCCATTAAATCTGCGGACAATTGTGGAGTGAATTTTTAAAATTCAGTTTATTGGTTACCGGTTGTCAAGTTTAAGGTAAGTAGGGTCTGAGTAATAGTGAATTATGGGCTTGTAGTTAGAGCAACAAAGATAGACCACTCGATAAGGTTTTAAATTTTCACTACGGATAGGCCGTTGAGATGTATTGTGTATGTCGGACCATCGCCTAGATAGGAAGTGATGACTGGATTTATCTCGAGAAAAGTTAAATTTTCCTATATTATGATAAAGAATTGCTTTCCGTTTGAGTCATTTAGACCATCTAATTGAGGTTAACTCTAATTCACCATTTCAAACAATTTTTCAAACTTAGTGGTTTAAGTGCTCATTTCTTTACTGTTCCCAGATTCAGATCCACTCCATCTACTTCAACTTGTACTGGCAACCGAGAAGTCTCAGTGATTGTAGCGCAGGCTATTGTAGAAACCTGTTTAAATTTACCGATTCTGTATGACATTGAGACTAATTATCCCTCCATCTACTCTGGTCTAGTCAGTACCATAATCGCTTTCACATTAAATATGACTCATGATCTAGTACAAAAACGTGTACGTTGTTGAGCAGCAGTAGCTGTGATCAGTCCTCAGCACCTACAAAATCACTACACTTACCTGAAGAAATAAGCTTTTCCTATGCCGTGAATATGAGGACGTTAAATTACTGTGAAAATGAGTAACTGATACAGATGACAGAATTAACTCAACATATAACATTTGTCGTTCTTTTCCGTATATCTCTCTGATGAGTGAGTGATATCATGCGTTTTTCACTCATTAGGGAATAAGTAATGTTTATTACGTTAGTAAGTAAGAGGTGGCCTACTTGAACCTTGGGCTACCAAATTTATCCATCAAACATTTTTCATCAAATTCTTTCCTTTCAACTTGTTTTAATCATTTAAATATATATCCTTTGAACGTATCATGTACTCCTACACATTTTAAAACTGTTTTCAACTCTCCGTTTCTCAAGTCAATAACAAAGAAGAGGGAAAATGTTACGTTTTATGGAAACGGACTTTTCAATGCTCAAAAGCACATTATATTTCTATCCGTCAGTTGCTTAGCATGAATTATAGATTTTTGTACCGCCTGAATATACTGCCACCATCAAAACTACACTTGGATTTCTGTTGATTCTTCATTATGGACCGGAAGCCCATCCAAAACCAGCTGGCTATTTCACATTACCTTGAATACTGTTATCATTAACATCTAACAGATGTGATAACCATTTCGTCTGAAAGTATTGTTCTGCGAGTGAATTTGTTGAAAAATTACATGCTGAAAATTCCATCCTGTCATACATATTGTTTGCAATGAGGCGACTATTATTATCATTATTATTATTATTATTATTATTATTATTATTATTATTATTATTATTATTATTATTATCAAGAGTTAACAATAGTCCAATCTTCTTTTGACAGCTGACTTGTTGACCTATTTCATAGTTTAACAGTGATATTGTCTTTCAACGTTGTTATCCAACTTACTTATAATTGCGAAGTTGCATAACCAGTTCTTAGTAATGTAAAGAAATTAAACTAGGTTTATGCATCACATTGTTGGTACATAGTTGGGTTTTCCTTTTTTTTTTTATTATGCTGCCTACTGGGTGATAATGAAATGAGAAACTGACCATAGTTAAAAGCTTTCACATCATTAATCGATAATAATTTATTATAACAATGTGTACTTTATTCGTTTTTTTGCGAGTAGTTTTTTTCGTGACTTATTCCACATATTTGATAATCGAAAGTTGTATGTTTATAAGTGATGAAGATCGTGTTTTTTTTTCATTTAGGGGATTGTATGGACAGCAAATGGATCAACTTTGGCTACAATACTTGATGGTAAATATCTACAACAAATTGATGCGGCCACTGGTCGATCTAATGGAACTAGTCAGTTAATTACGAATGAATCTGGACGTGTTGTGTGCCTAAAGACATCGGCATGTTGTCATTTTCCTTCTCAATATAATTTGGTACAACAGGTTATGCCAACTGGAGGTGATGTGAATTCAATTGCTTATGCTACAACAAGTAATCATATTGTTGCTCGTGATGTACGCGTACCAAGCTCTAGTTCTCCTGTATGGATTTTGAAACAAGACAGAGCTCATGGTGAGATAATTTACAGCATTAATTGGTATCTAACTTTTTGCAGTGGAAAAGGTTTCTCCAGTCTTTAGTTTCGTAAATGACATGGAGTTTTGAGTAGTATGTCCTTTTTATTCCAAGGATCTTATAAGAGGATGACTAGTGAACAACATAAAGTATTCAGTTTCGGATACAACAATAATTAATCGTTCGTAGTATCGATTCTTGTTGGTCAGAGTATTTCGCGTCAGGTGACAATGGTTCAGTTGTCTATTCTTTTATCCTGCCCCATATACTACAATCTATACTAGCAAGTAATATCATATGCATATCATACACACATCGGTATATTAAACTATGAGATGCACTTATCGTATAATAATTGATGATAAAAACTCGGGTTCTCAATTTAGTGAGCTACAGTTTCAGATATATCATGTAGCTTATGCTTGAATACATTAGATTGCATAGAATTGGTGAGTTGTAATTTCAGACAGGCAGCTGTGTTTAAGTAATTTAGCTACTAGGCTTTCAACCGCTGGTATGCTTTGCTTCTAAAGATTCAGACAAATGTTTAGCACTTTTCAACTATGATTTGAAATAGTGGAGAATATTTGTAGTTCAGGTGGATGGTCTTCGTTGTATAATTTTCTCTGAACTGGGTTGTTTAATCGTGGAGCTTTCATCATCTTGCTAGACGACATCATCAGCACTAACTTCAGTGTGAAGTAAGTTGTCAATATCTCTCCATGAGCAATTTAGTAGCTTGCCTTGACGAGTTGGCTTGTGATTGGTTGTTTCCTTTGCTGCATTATTGACTGTATAGATTTTCTTGTTGGCCGCTGCTCTGTTTGACCCTCGACCTTTCCGTCTTATATCACTTTTCTTATTGGTTGATAGATTGGGTCTATGTCGATACATCTATTGACTGCTGACTGACCTGAATGCCAAGCTTCTACGAATTCTCTGATATTCTTTGTGTTTCCTCTCTCCGTCCAAAATTTCTACATTGTCGAAATTGAATTCATGTCCATAATTATCCACGTGCATTGAAACCAGCAAATTCCCTCCAAACATTATTATGCGAACCAAAGAAGATAAACTGAATGTCATTTACAAAATCAACTGCAATAACTGTAGTCTACACCACATTAGACGAAGTGGTCAATTGGCTATCAAATGTCATGACATTTCGTCACTCATTTCAATGCACGTGGATGGTAACTATGGACATGAATTCAATTTTGACAATGTAGAAATTTTGGACAGGGGAAACAAAGAATATCAGAGAATTCCTAGAAGCTTGGCATTCACGTCAGTCAGTCAGTCAGCAACCAACAGATGTATAGACATAGACCCAATTTTATCAACCGATAAGAAAAGTGATAAACGACAGAAAGGTCATATGTGAAGCAAAGGAACAGCCAACAGGGAAATCCATGGAGTTAATGACACAATATTAATGGGAACAACCAATCACAAAGCAGTTGGTCAGGGCAGGCTACTAAATTATTCCTGGAGAGATATTGACAGATCACTTCATACTGAAGTTAGTGCTGATGATGTCATCTACCAAGGCGATGAAAGCTTCAGGATTAAACAACCCAGCTCAGAGAACACAATGCAACCAAAATTTTTCAACTCCACTTACAGGATTTGCAAAGAATTTCACTTTATTACTGAGCTACTTGTTTTTGCTAATCACGTCTATGGAACACATTTTAATTCGATAGCAATCATTCTACATTTTTCAAGTTTTGCTTGTGTACATTATCTGTTCTCCATATGATTGCGTGTTGTTCAGTATCTCATCTCTGGGTGCGTTTTCCTCTTGTTCAGAAAAACTTCAAGACGGATCCGTGAATGTTTACCACAGTATGCTTCACTGTACATTTAAGAATATTCAGTACATTTATTTTCCTTGTATTTCTCTTCCGAAATGAACTTCCTCTTTATTTGGTACTTATCATTCTCCTAACTGGAATCCAATGTATGAAGAACATATAAGCATTACAAGTTGTTATTCATCGAAGACTGACATCAGTTGGAGGAACAAAGGAAACCTGGAAGCACTGGACAGCTGTTTCGTCCCAGTATGGGACTCCTCAGCAGTGCGCACCCACGACCCCACCAGCAGGGATCGAACCCGCGACCTTCAGGTTCCACGACCAGCGCGTTACCATTGAGCCACTGGGTTAGAATCCAATGCTCCATATTTCCAACTTCTGTTAGCTCACGATATAGCGCAAACCGCCACCCAATGTCATCGTTGAGTATTTGTCCTCACGGCCATCAGGCTTTGACTCCACCGGTCACGACTTGTCATTGGGACTTCGGGAATACTTCTCGAAGCTAGTCACCAACGAGCACTAGTTCAATTAAATTGTTCCTCCAACTGATGTCAGTCTTCGATGAATAACAACTTGAAATATTTCCAAATCTCCACAACCCCTCAAAATTTAATTGAACTAGTGCTCGTTGGTGACTAGCTTCGAGAAGTATTCCCGAAGTCCCAATGACAAGTCGTGACCGGTGGAGTCAAAGCCTGATGGCCGTGAGGACAAATACTCAACGATGACATTGGGTGGCGGTTTGCGCTATATCGTGAGCTAACAGAAGTTGGAAATATGGAGCATTGGATTCTAACCCAGTGGCTCAATGGTAACGCGCTGGTCGTGGAACCTGAAGGTCGCGGGTTCGATCCCTGCTGGTGGGGTCGTGGGTGCGCACTGCTGAGGAGTCCCATACTGGGACGAAACAGCTGTCCAGTGCTTCCAGGTTTCCTTTGTTCCTCCAACTGATGTCAGTCTTCGATGAATAACAACTTGAAATATTTCCAAATCTCCACAACCCCCTCAAAATATAAACATTAGTTTGCTCTTAAAACTGGACGATAGTGGTGGCTTGGACATGTCTTGCACTTGTGGAGCCACCGTTTACCTCAAAGTGCTGTGCTAGAAGTTGGATAAGGTTAGAATAGGGTTCAAAATGGCTGGAACAAGACGTAGCACTAGTCCATAAAGTTTTGAACTGTTGATCTGAGCCATGTATAGGGGGTCCAGACTATCTTGTTGGGGTCTCTGAGACGAAAGAAATCAGCAGTTGGGGACTTTTAGGGGAATGGCTGAAAATTGGTGCAGATGCATTCACTCTTTCATGTCTTTTGAAGCTTGAATATTTGCACTAACCTTTATCCTCTAATTGTTTATTCTCGCAAACACCTTCCTCTACTTTGATATCACCATTTTTCTATCCATCTGTTTCACGTATGCTGCTTTGAAGTGATGGACCTGTGTGCGAGATTGTACCTTGATTTATCTATCTGCATTGTGAATGGTCGACACTTCCTGCTACCCATATTATTATATCTGATGAGGTAAATAAGGCCAATGCAGCAGGTCTTCTGAGCGGACCTAAGAAACTGCGGAAAGTCTAGGCGATTTATTCAAATTTGGCGAAACGTAAATTTACAGGAAGAATGGGTTCTTGGAGAATTTTGAACTGTTTACTATGGTAGTTAGTCTTATCTGTCTCACTCACCTCTTTTGATTATAATGTTTGCATTACCTTTTTTTCAATATCAGACCTTGAAATGGCGAATTTCGACGTTAAAATAAAACTTACAAAACTAAAGATACCCACTGACGCCGTAGAAGATTATTTAACTACTATTTAGATATATTAAATGTTTATTTATCTAGTTTAAACCTCACAGTATTTCAATTTGTGGGTTTGTGAGAGTTTATTTATTGATCATACATGGGTATTCATCATGGAATGACATCAGTTGGAGAAACATTAGAAACCTGGGAGGAGTGGTTAACTGTTTCTTCCTAGAATGGAACTCATTAGCAGTGCGCACTCATGACCTCGCCAGGGATCCAACCCAGGACCTTCAGGTTCTATGGTCAGCCACTGAGTCACTGGGTCGGAAACCAATAGTTCCTCTTTCTTACTTCTGTCAGTATGCGATATAGCGCAACCTTTATCCAATGCCGTCGTTGAGTAACTGTTCACAAATCCGACGTGGTTTACCCCACCGGTGACGACCTCTCATTAGAACTTCTGGAATCATCTTTTGAAGCGAAGCCACCAATGAACACCAGCTTAATTCAGTTTGGAGGTTTGTGGGGATTTAGTTACTGATTTCAGGTTTATATTCATCATGGACTGATATTAGATGGAGAAACATTGGAGACCTGGTGCCGAGAAGGTGCATTACAACCAGTTGCGAACATTGGTGTCTGGAGGTAATGAGGAAATAATTTTAGTGATTATTAGAAAAACTTCAAACACCCTGGACTTAGCGATGATGAATAGCAGTTATCTTTCTTCCTCCAATTTATGCGTATGGTTTGTATCTAGCTTATAATCAATCGAACCTTTGCTGAACTTACAGTTTACGCGCATATGCACTCGTCTTCACATTAGCCTTATTGGAAATTTCGTCACTCAGCGGAATTACCCTATCGTTGTCATATCTCAATGTAGTCAACAAATAATCTCAGTCCGAGGGTAGTTGGTTTTATTGCTATAATCAACTTGTGAAATTCTGATATTGAGAAAAAGCATTTCAACTATGATAGCCAAAATAGGTTAGTGCGATAGATAGGCCTAACCATCACAATGAATAGTAGTTATTCGCTGGGATATTGTGTTATAAATAGTTCGGTGATTTTTCGCATACATTATGGTGTATCGTTGTTTTTGTTCACGATAAGAAGTAAGTGATGATCTCATGCTTTTTTCATATAACCTCTAGGATTAATACTTTCAATGGCAATGCATAGTTTACATACATGGCTTGTGACAGGAACTAGTCGTGGTCATCTGATTTGTTGGGATTTAAGATATAGACGTCAAATAGCCTATACAGAACATCCATATCAACCAGGTGTTGGAATTTCGAATCTGTTGATTGCCGAAACCCCGTGTCCAGGTGAAATGGATGCAAAGTTTCCTGGTCAAAGTCGTACTCAGTCGTCTGCGAAAACATGTCAAGTTGGACAAACTCTGGTAAGTTATCAATTTTACTAACTCATGATAATGAAATAAAATATTACAGGTTGCATGAATAGTCTTCACAAATAGTTTGAAGCAATTTTTAGTTTATTAAGCAGTTGCATTCCATTATGCTGCCATTGTACCTCAAAGTATAATTCCATACAACGTCTGATATCATTTACCTGCCAGACATTCTTTTACTGAGACACTTTTATAAGAAGTCTGATGTGGTCTTCGTATTCAGATAACGATTATTATCAGACGCATATATGTATATGTTCGAGGATGTGGTAGGAATTGGTGAGCACCTTCTATGAGGTCTTAAGTCTTTCTGATGCACAGGTTTCTCGTCCCAGAGTACAAGTTAAGGTCGAATGTTTATTGAGATCTACGATCTTATAAAAATGCGTTGGTCAATCTAATTCTTCTATGAAACTAACAAGGATATTTTGTTTATTATTTGTAAAGTTTAATAACCAACAACAGAAATCAATTATAGGAAATCATATCTGACCCTCACACCTTATCTTATAATAACTTCCAAATACTTCGGGTGATGAATCATTGACAGCCGTTACTCTACTCTATTAGGGTAAATTACAACGATCTAAACTTCAGTGACAGTTCGAGACTCAATCTCTGTCACATTCAGACTTCAAGTGGATAACGGAAGATTGGAAAGTATCTAGAGATCAGGTAACTTGTTTCTTACAGTGTTTTTTCCTATCTGGAGGTTTGTGGGGATTTATTTATTCATTTCAGGTTGGTATTCATCATTCACTGGGAGCACTGGACAGCTGTTTCATCCTAGTATGGGACTCCCCAGTAGTGCACACCCATGACTCCGCTAGGAGTCATTTCACTTGTCTCCTTGTGTGTGAATCTCTGATATTTCCTTTCCGGTTACATAAGCGCTATAAGCAACCTGAAATGAGGAAGAGCAAGAAGGCCAGATAAACTAGTACTCAAAGATTAGTGATCAGGTTAGCTGAGGTGACAATCACTTATTGTGCTAGTCTTCAAAACATGCCTTTTCCATTTCTAATCACCAGCTACCTCGTCGCATATTGTTAGCTGAAGTAGATTTGAGCTGGAAAAAAGTCAAAAGATGACCAGGCGAGATGTCATCAATTTATGAAATCTTTGATTTGAGCTGTGTAGGGAAATGTAGATTTCTCGGTTGGAATCCTCGTGACAAGCGAAATCGGTGGTTGGAGACTCTAGGTAATATGGTTGAGATGCACCTACACTCATTGTCTTTATCACCATACCAATCGATTTAAACAACTGTAAGGGGAACGACATACAATTGGGTTATGATAGGTATTAGTTTTTTGAGACCCTGAGAAAGATTTATTTTGTGTATAAATCATCTAACCTTGTTTATATTGATTGATGAACACTGATGTTAGCAAAATCTAATTGAGGAAATTTTGCTATTTGTAGATAATAGCAGCTACCGACCATCATAATGAAGTAACTATCTGGGATTTAGAGTCCTCTGCAACGGCATCATCTGCAGCTATATCATCATGTAACTATGGATTGCCTGGTTCTCTTCCGCCAGTACGCAGTACAGGCTGTTTAGCATCTACATGGGCTCAACCAGGAAATGGGACACCACTTATTCTTGACAGCTCCTTACCACACCGGTCAGTTCGAGCTATTTTATGTCTACCTAACAAGAATATGATGGCGTCTAATGAATATTTTAAACTCAATCCTCAAGCTGGTCATTTACCAGCTATATTGGCCGGTGGTAACGATGCACGTTTGCGTTATTGGGATTTTAGGAGACCTGAGGACTCTTGTGTCTTAGTGTGGGCTGGCAATGATGAAGAAGCTCTTCCACCGAAAGTAACATATCGGTAAGTTAGTTTGGCTAATGTTATCTTTAAACTATACCACATTACAATGATACATATATTCTAAGTGTAACAGCCTAAAATCATCAAAGGTATATTGTTTTTTCAGTCTGCGTATTTAAGTGCGGAGTTATGGCTCATCAGTTTATGTATTCAACTTTCACGCGACAAATCACAAATTTAAACTCCATCGAGGTTTGGAAGCTGACTGAAATTGGAACACCTAAAGCACTTAACCACAGCTTCACGCTAATAATCAAAGTTCTATTTACTCTATGTTGTTGTTGTTGGACAAGCTGAACTAACCAATGATACATACTGAATGGGTATCAGTAACCACGTGTACTAGATTATACAACATACTTATATAAGGCTTGACGATACTGTTTGGTCTCTCGAATCAAGATAGTTGATACGGAATTCGGATCCATAGCCTACTAGTTGAGAATTAGATATCGATGAACCAAAGCTTGTTTACACTTACAAAATAGTGAATCAGAAACAATTTCCTTTCACTTTGATGACTTTGAACATAGCTTTTATGATGCAATGCAAATGTGCTCAGCAATTATGTCCACGTTCTTGCAATAGCTAATGACCCACGCCTATTGTGTGAGGGCTAATGATACTATCTATCTGCCCACACCTCGTTGGGTGGAGCGGGGTCGCAACCCGCTGCCTGGAGATCAACTACCTTATCTAGTGGGCTACAGCTCCACTTTGTGATGCAATATCAGTTAGCTGGCTATTGAAAGTCATGGATATTAAATACTTCCCCATAGGGACTACGGTTTATTGAAGGACTTCAGAACTGCGCGAAACAGATATATCTGCTACTCCTCTTGTTTATCATTGCCGGTTCAGTTGATACCAATTTGTGATAAAAATCAGCTTCAAATAGTATTATTGCTTAGTCGCTTATAAAACGTGTTGTTTCATTATGAAGATACTTTTAATCTAGGTTGATTATGCAGTTGAATTCAGAGTCAAAATAAATTATTTTAATTTATTATGACTTTCGAACAACGGAACCTCGCCTGGTTAACTAGTTCACTAGTTACTAGCCGGCCCTAAGCCCGGATAAAGAGGGAAGCTTCGGCATAAAGCTAGCAACCCTACCCCGTAAAACCAACCCAATCGCTAAACAAACTTCAAAGCACAAAGAAAATATAAAACGAAAACAAACTTATTCCTCGCTGGAATCGGGAGACGAAATGACGCCGGTTGGTGAAAGCCTTCGGGAAGCCAGTCGGCCCATGTGTTTTCTCTCGATGAAACCGAAAGTAAGGATGGGGACATGGAATGTCTGCACCATGTATGAACCTACCAAGGCTGTCCAGATTGCGAAAGAGATGAGGAGGTATGGCATAGAAGTGCGAGGAATCTGCGAAAGCAGATGGAATGGAGGTGGACTCTCCAAACTCTTAATTGGAGAGTTAATGATCTATTCTAATATTGTCACCCAGACGACAACCACGAGCACACTGAGTTTTCGAGTGGTTATCATGATGTCCCCGAGAGCATCGAAGACTCTCTCATGCGGTAGGAACCAATCTCCTCCAGGATCAGGATCATGATAGCAAGATGGATTCAACAGGAAAGGAAGGAAAGTCACAATCATACAACGCTACGCTACGCAACTACAAATAATGCAGATGAAGAGAAGAAGGAGGAATTCTACAAATAACTGCGATCAATACTAGACCGACCGATAGCTGCTACCTTGACGTGGTGGTCGGTCTTGCATATCACAATGACCCAACGAGCTATGCTGGTGGAACGCTTGTTCCCTCGAGGTCCTACCATACCAGAAAGGTCTGTTGGGTAGTGGTTAGACGAAAAGCAGTTACCGTTATAGTGTAAATTGCTACACTATGATGGGGGTCTGAGGGCGAAGTCGTACTGCTGCTAGCTGGATGGGGTGTGACAGCAGTAAGGTGTTTCCCTTGGATGACCAGCAGTGCCATGCTGATGCTGCCTTCTCAGTGGAAGGGGGGGTTAGAAAAGGTCGGCCCCACCACGCCCCACGGTCTGCCGGGCCGGCGGTGTTGGTTCACTTGTCGTTTCCTTTCGACCATCCGGCCCCAAAAATACAAAAGTTCAAAATAATCATACTCAAAAGGCTGGGTGTGACAGGCCTCAAGCAGATGTCCGATGGGCTCTGCGGTCACACAAATCTCTTTCAGGTACCTTAAGAAGAAATAGCCTTCCACGGTGTGGGCAGCCGGGAAGTGTCAACCGCCCTCACAACTCTGTCAGCACCCAAGTTTCTTCTGACTGCTATCCTCCTCCTCCATCATTACCTTCTAATCTTCCTTCACGTCTCTTAATTAATGATGCTGCATCATCTTCAATTTCTCCTACCTCTGCAGCCTTCGACAACGATCTGAGTCCACAGAACAGCATCCCTGGTCTCCTTAAACCACGCTCCAAATTACATATTGGAGCCTTCAATGTCCGCACCCTCCGTCAAATTGGCCAACAGGCTTCGTTGGCAAAGACTCTAGCAACTCGGGCATGGATGTGTGCTGTGTTTGTGAGACACGCATACAGGACCCAAGTGTGGTTATTCACCTGACCTCTCCTGACCAATCTGGTGAATCTGCAAAATTCACCCTTCGAGTTTCTGGAGATTCGATAGCTAGCTCTCGTGGTCTTGCAGGTGTAGGTATAGCATTAAGCACCAGGGCAGAAAACTCACTACTAGACTGGATCCCAGTTGATAGTCGCCTCTGCGCTATGAGGCTGAACGGCACAGTGAGAACTAAAAGGAATAGTGAGACTCGCCGTTGTCTCTTTGTAATCTCTGCTTACGCACCCACTGACTGTAGTTCGGATGAAGTGAAGGACGAGTTCTACCATAAACTGTCTAACCTCCTCTCGAAAGCCAAACGTTCGGACGTAGTGGTTGTTGCAGGTGACCTCAACGCACAGGTGGGTAGACTGAGTGAGGCAGAAAGGCACTTAGGTGGCACTTTCGGAATCCCAGCTGAACGTACAGATAACGGTGATCGCCTATTACAACTATGCTCAGATAACCGCCTATTTTTAGCCAGCACAAATTTCAGACATAAAGAAAGGCACTGTCTGACCTGGCGTCCACCGAGCTCGACTCAGCGATGGACACAGATAGACCACATTGCTATTAGTCATCGCTGGAGGACTGCCGCTCCTTCTGGAGTACGTGTTTGGACAGCGATCATGCGTTGGTCCGAGCACGTATATGCCTGCGTCTCAATGGACGTAGAAAAAATTTGGCAACAAAACCACTACGAGTTCTGCTGGACAACGAAAACACCAAAGCCGTGTTCAGTGAGAAGTTGGCTAGGCAGTTATCGGAACAAAAGACTGTCACTCATCCAGAAGAAGCTTGGTGCCATCTTCAGTCTACTGTAAAAGCAGCACTGGAGACTGTAGCCGACTCCAAGATAATGGCTAAAAAGAGCCAGTGGATATCAGCAGCTTCTTCCAAACTAATGGATGCACGTGAATGCATCCCTGCAGGCTCTGAGTACAATGAAGAGCGAGCGCAACTTAAAAATAAACTGACGAAAAGTCTGCGCAACGATCGTGAACAGTGGTGGGCAGCAAAGGCTAAAGAGATGGAAAAGGCAGCGGCGATCGGTAACAGTAGACAGTTATTTAGACTTATTAAGGAGACTGGGGGGAAATGGTCAACAACAGTTAGTGAGGTTATAGCGGAGAAGGACGGATCGGCGATTCACTCGCAGGGAAGGCGACTGGGACGATGGGCAGAACACTTTGAGGAACAGTTTAACTGGCCTCCAGCCACCATTGCGCTGCCCGCTATCCAGTCGGACCCTGAATGGGACATAGAGACAGGTCCCCCAACACTAGAAGAAGTTGAGAAAGCGGTAGGTAGCCTGAAACGGGGAAGGGCAGCAGGACCAGACGGACTACCTGCTGAGGTATACAAGAATGGTGGTAGAGTTCTCTTAGTCAGGCTAACGGAAGTGTTAGCCAGTATATGGGAATCAAATACGATCCCCTCCGACTGGTCTAAGTCACTCATCATCCCAGTCTTCAAGAAAGGCGAGAAGTCCTCTTGTGATAACCACAGAGGAATCAGCCTGACAAACATAGTGTCTAAGATCCTAAGTTCTATAATTCTCCGACGCCTGAGTGGAGCTCGGGAACAGCAAGCCCGAGAAAACCAGGCAGGCTTTAGACCTGGCCGTGGATGTATCGACCAAATATTCACACTGCGCCAGGTCCTGGAACATAGGCATGCTTACAGACGCCCGACAATAGCTGTATTTCTCGACCTGAAGGCGGCATTTGACTCCGTTGATCGAGAAGTCTTATGGCAGTGTCTGTCACTGAAAGGCGTGCCTAGTAAGTACATCACCTTATTGAAAGCTCTCTACTCGAACACTTGTGGGCATGTTAGAGCCTATGGTGAGTTGTCCAGGGAGCTATACTCATCAAGTGGTGTCCGTCAAGGATGCCCACTATCCCCATTCTTATTTAATTTTATCATAGATATTCTTATGGAGGTTTCCCTCTCGTCACCTAATTACAAAGACGTTGACCGGATCACAGGTGAATTTTCCTTAGATCTAGAATATGCAGATGACATAGTCCTGTTAGGTGAAGACGCTGACAAGATGCTGAACACTTTGAGTGGGAATTTGAGAATGTTTGGGATGCGATTTTCACCACCCAAATGCAAATTTTTGCTCCAGGACTGGTCTTCAGCGGTACCGCGGTTAACAATAGAGAGTGAAGTGGTTGAGTGTGTTGACCACTTCACTTACCTGGGAAGTAGGATCAACCCGGTGGGTTAGTTGCCGATGAGATTTCTGCACGGATACAAAAGGCTCGATTGGCTTTTGCCAATTTGCGCCACCTATGGCGCCGCCGTGATATTCGTTTGTCTATTAAGGGTCGCGTGTACTGCACAGCAGTCCGCTCTGTTCTACTGTATGGCTGTGAAACATGGCCATTGAAAGTGGAAGACATGAGAAGGTTTCAGGTATTTGACCACCGTTGCCTTCGTAGTATAGGACGTATTCCGTGGTGTCACCATGTGAGTAATGCAGAAGTTAGGTGTAGAGTTTTAGGGAGAAGAGGTAAGTCAGTCGACGAGGTTGTGAACCTTCATCGACTGAGATGGTTGGGACACGTACTACGTATGCCTAGTCACCGATTGCCTCGTCACACAATGTTGGCTGAGGTGGGTTCAGGCTGGAAAAAGGCCCGAGGTGGCCAGACTAAAACATGGCACCAATGTATGAAGTCTCTGACTGTTGGTTTAAGCCATGTAGGACGATGCAGACTAGGTGGTTGGGGTCCACGGGACAAGAGGAACCAGTGGTTGGAGACCCTAGGTGATATGGCTCAGAACCGAAGTCAGTGGCGCAGATGTATACACACATTATCCTCATCTTAACAACGCTATACCGAATCTCACTATTTTGTCACTCCTCTTTCCTTTCTTCTCATACTTTATATTTCTTTTGACTGCATTCACTTATCTTCATCCTTCACCTCACTACCTTTTTACTTGATGTGCTGATATGAGGTGTGGCAACTCGGACCGTTACGCAGTAATGCCTGGTCCTATGTTGATACTGATGATGTACTAGACAAGACTCCAGTTGGCGACTGCGACATCAAAATTCTAGTGGCTAACATGAATGCCGAACTGAGAGCAGACAACACAGGAAGAGAACTCATCATGGGTCGAGAAGCATTCGGTGAAATGATGAACGAGAATGGAGAACTGTTTGCAGATTTCTGCGCATTCAACGATTCGGTGGTCGGATGCACTGTGTTCAAACATAAGGATATCCATGGATTCGATTTCACCAGATGGATGCACTGAAAATCGACTTCATCTCAATATGAAGAAAGTGGAGACGCAGCTTACTGGACACAAGATCAGATCAAGATGGGGAGCAGATATACGTTTAGACCATTATCTAGTGCAAGGAACCTTGCAAATCAAGTTGAAAGTCTTCAAAAAAGTTGATGATAGACCGCAGTTGAAGTTCAACACCCAAACAGAAACTGAACTGAAGGACGAAACTACAAAGGACATCTTTACGTCGGCCATCAAAAGACTGCAGATAGCAGAGTGCAGTGGAGGCGTGCTACTGAAGCCCTATGTTCCACTGGGAACCCAATGGAAAAATAATAATAATAATTCGAACAACGGAAATCGGAAACATATTTGGTAAATACTTAGTATGGTGGTATTAATCTGCTAGTCTGATTAGATTATGAAAGCTAGTAAGATCATTTTTCCTGGAGAACAAAGATGATCTCCGTTGAAAGTAGATGGCGTTGCTTGAAAACAACCAGTGTATGGCATTTTACTTCTTACTTTGGTCTAGCAAATGAACAACCTCAATATCTTCCTTATTCACTTCAATTTTCAGCTGATTTGCTACTCAATTGGAAATGAGCTTAGGTTATGTGTAGTTCTACATTGACTAACGATTAGTATACAGTATTCCGGATATTTTCAGTGAAGCACGTCTCGAAATTTTATTAACACCCATTAAGCAAAAGTGTGTAACCACATACCGCACTGCTCATTCTAGGACAACCGCTGTTGTATGCGTAAATCTCGACACTTTTAAACATATACCCTGGAATTCTTATGGGAACTGTATGGCCTAAATAATGAAGTATCTTATACGTATGAGCAATCGTATCATTATTATTTCGTGGTACTTTTATTCGCTAAGTGTGTTGTGACTGACTGATCTTTTTCAAACTACGTATACACAGTGTGAAAACTCCTCCCCATTAAATACACTATGTGACATCTACGAAAGTTTTATACAACAAATGAAACATACCTATTTGTTCACAAATAAACAGAACAAGGTTTTTTCATGCAAAGAAGTTTTTTTATTATTGAGCATTTTTAGATGGCAATAAATCAGATTACTTTTCTAAGAAGTTACCCAGTCGATATGCGCACAATAGATACGGTGGTAGTAGTAGTGAGAAAATGAAGGAATGCAGAGGGAGTCATTGGAAGAATTGATCTCAAGAGTTGAAATATCGATCAATTGTTATTAAAAAAAGAGAGACATAATTAGTGATGTTAATCAAAGTGAAATATACAATCGGAAATAAAGTTAACTGAAAAGTGTATTAACACGGCCAAGACCAGTCACTCAGTATATACTTGGGATGTAGCATTACTTCAAGGTCACAAAAGAAGTGACAAAATGAAGGACAAGGGAAATTAAGTCGCACAACCGAAAGGCATCGGGGAAAAAGGTGAATGGATAGAGCAAATCGCAAAATCTGATATAACTCTCTTATACGACGTGCATGCATCTGCGCCAGTACAATCGATTCGGAGTCATATCACGTCGACTCTCCGGTCGCAGATTTCTGTTGTCACACGAAACTCAACTGAAAAGTCTACAATTCTGTATGCAACTTAACCAGCAATCAGAGGCTTCCCCAACTGATGTCGTCTTATTTCAAGCAAATTCAACCTTTTTTGACCGGATCCTACTTTAGTTAACATCACACTTTGGGGTAGACATTGAAAAGGCGTGCTTAACATGTTCCAACCACGTAGGTCAATGAGGGTTTAACTAATCAGCTAACTGACCTCTTGTGTCTGCGACTTTACGTATAACTGCTGAATCACTTACGTGGTGGATCCACGACACATGACCACTGCTACAACAGAGGTGGTCGAATAGCTAAAGCCTTCTCATCCTCTCTACCTTCAATGGCTATGTTTCACAGTCATATAGTAGAACACAGCAGTACACTTATTGTCAAACGAGGTATCAACATAGACCAGTTTGGAGGCATCCGTTCGCGTTTGGGTGTTGAGAAATGCATCCTGAACATTCCCAACTTGTCCACAAGACTGCACGTTGCAAGTGTTTTCAGCTATATCGTCCACGTACTTCAAGAACACCGTAACTACAGAGGTATCAAAAAACATTCTCCAATATAGAATTCGACTTCCTGACCATGTAGAGCTAGTGCTTCAGATATTCATAGGTGATGAAAATGTAACTTTTCAGAGATCAACTTATCTCTGTAAACATTACTTTGGAAGATGAACTGAATAGTTTGATCGTATAATTTATTCACATTTACCACGTTGTTGATCATTACTCGTCTTTGGTCTACGAAAGCTAGTAGTGTTCGATGACGCGTTCCTAAAGAACCGACACACAAGAAGCAGTGAGTATTTCACTGTGATTATCGTCATATCATGCTTTTTTGATAGCACTTGGCTCATATTTCACCTTTGAAGGTCTTTTTTCCTTTCTCAGCAGCTCCTTTGGCGTCTTGTCCGCTTGAACCAACCTCACCACCACTAATACCACTTATGTATTGACCGAACAACTATCTGACTCTTAGTAATGATGGATAGTGGCTAGCAGTGGAATTCAGGATGCGCATTTCGCCCTATTTGGGACTCGTCAGCTGGATGTACTTGCCTCCCAGTGAGTGATATTGTCCCCGCCGGGATTCGAGCTCGGGACCGATCGTATCAAACGTCAGAGCGTTATCCACTAGACCACTGAGCCATGATAGGCACTTCTTGTGCGACGGGTAGTTTTAGCATTATTGCTTGTATTATACGGTCGTTGATTGGACCGAATTGATAGGTCTCTATTGGCATATGGGCTCCTGTGCGGATGCCTCGATATTACCTGTGTTTTAATTCTAGTAATGATGGATAGTGGCTAGCAGTCGAATCCAGGATTCGCATTTCATCCTTTAATACAAGCAATAATACTGAAACTATAACCGTCGCACAAGAAGTGGCTATCGTGGCTCGGCGATCTAGTGGATAACGCTCTGACGTTTGATACGATCGGTCCCGAGTTTGAATCCCGGTGGGGACATCACTCACTGGGAGCTAGGTACATCCAGCCGATGAATCCCAAATTGGACGAAATGCGCATCCTGGATTCGACTGCTAGCCACTATCCATCATTACTAGAATTAAAACAAAGGTAATATCGAGGCATCCGCACAGGAGCCGACATACCAATAGAGACCTATCAATTCGGTCCAATCAACGACCGTATAATACAAGCAATAATACTACCCAACTCTTACCTATAAGTACAACTGTACACCTTGATAATAAATTCACTGAAGATAAATAGTTTACATGAGAATGTCATACCAAGTAGAGCTAATCAATGGTACCGTTATCTTTTATAGTGTCGAATCTCTAATATTTGCACGTCTTTCTTGTAAAAAGAGTTTGATTATCACTTCAAACTAATCAATTCTTACTATTGTTATTATCTTGTTTATTATTAGGTCGATGGATGTAAATGACGTTTATGTTTTGGTTGAACAAGTCAATTCCCCTTCCGGTGTTGACACACCAAGCCTACTAACAAAAACGGTATACACGGAATCATCACAGAGACCAATGTCAATGAATACAACAGAATCATCATCAACAAGCATTGCATTTCCTACATCTGGACGTTTAGAATTACGAGAATCAACTAAAGGTCATAAAAACATTATATCTGATCTAACTATCCTTCAAGTAGGTCAAGCGTTTCTAGTCTCTTCTTCAATGGATGGAGTTATAAAAATTTGGCGATAATCAACAAATTCCATTGTAAACAAATTAAACACTAAACAATCATGATGAAATATATTTATCTATATGGCTAGTTGATTACCAGTGAAACTGTGATTATGCTTCATTTAAAGACAATTACTAGTACAATGTTTATATTATACATGAAACAAACTTTTAAAACTGTTGACAATTTGCCTTTTACATATCAGGTTATGACCTGTCTAACAGAATTAGGGCTTTTTCTACATGGATGACGTTTCGACATCGTTTTCAATACAGTGCAGACTGAATGACCAAGCTTGGTAAAACCTTGGACTGAACACTGGCAAGAATATACTTTGATTGTTTTATTAATGAAATAGATATGGTAGTAGAAAACTTTTCCGTCAAGAATTTATACAAAACACTAAACAGAATGAATATATACATATTTATTTGTATACAGTATTTTGGTAAATATTTTCTTTTAACGTCTCATTGCTAACAGCACCATATAATCACTCGTTGTAGCTAACTCTGAACTTAAATAAGGTGCTGTCTGTTTCAGTAAGCTTAGTGCAAAACTACTCGGTGCAAATAAATATACTATAAAGGGATAGTGTTTTGTAGTCTTCATCTCCTCTGAACTTTCATTCGGTGATTCTTCTGGAAGTTTTTCTTCAGATGGATAAATTATACCAGCTGATTGTTTCAATTTTAGATAGGTAACAAGAATTTGTAATGAAAAACATTTGTTTATTTTTGACTTGATATTGGTATCGTCAGAAGTTGACTGATTAGATACTTTAGTTTCTTTATGTATACACTTATTGGTTTGTTCCATATCCGGTAATATTAGCATTAGGCATAGATTGTGACAGGCTGTAGACAAAACATTTTGGATACGATGTGTAGCCTCAGCCATCCATGAAGCATCAAGGTTACCGCGGCGTACAATACGCAATGTTGGATGGGATATTTTATCAGAAGGGTCACTACTATTATTTCCATAATTCAGTAAATCTTGACTTACATCTTTATTACCAATGACCATCAAGCAACGAAAGTAAAAGTGATCATTTTTTAATAAGAACCTTCCTCTCCACAAATCCGGTTGAAGATATTGATCCAGATCTCGGAGAGTGATGATCGATTTTAGACTGCATGTTATATCTTCTGCTGGACTAAATGTATCGTGATTATCAGAGTATCTGGGTGTATTCCGATTATATGTTTGATATCGATTAGGCATATAGAAAGATGGTTTCACATGAGGTAGTTGTCGTACATTTGAAAGACCTTTATCCAAAGAAGAATCTCCTAAATTGTAATGGTTTATTGTATAGGGTCCTCCGCCATAATGTTCGTTTGAACGAATGCGATTATTGTTTACGTTCACAGGATCATTTATATCAGATCTGGTCATCGTATTTCGTAATTCTGACATCTGATTATCAACTTCCGAATTCAGATCAGTTTTGTTTAAGATTTGAGGTCTTGGTTGTACAAACTCTGGACTAATAAAATCAACACGTAGTCTAAGATTTGGACGACTAGCTAGTGAGAAGCTCTTCAGTTGTCTATTAACTTCAAGCGCTGCCTCACAACTATCATACACAGCTATTGCATATTTACGTCTCGGAGACCAATCAAGGTATGTAATTGGTCCAAAACGTAACAGCATACGTTGCAGTGAGTCAGGAGAAGTCCACGATTCTACACCACCAATATACAGGCAATGAGATGGTATTGCCTTACCATAGCCTATTTTACAGTGTAGAGATCTAATACAGCGGCCTGACATAGACATTTTTGCCCGACTGGCCATATCAACATTCTGAAAGCGTACGAACGCGTAAGAATGGGCACCAGGCTTTGGAGAACGCTTAATATCAATTTGTTCAACATACCCATACCTCTCAAATGCGGTTAGCACTTCTTTCTCTGTTATGTCTGGTTCCAAACTCCCGACAAACAAAGTTCGTGTAGCTTTTGATTCTTTTTCTGAATCAGATGCTCCAGGAGAGTATCCACCTCTGTTGTGCTCGTAATGTCGAAGATTCGCAGGTCCAAAACGGTTATGAGGATTTATTGTGCTCAACTGTGGAGGTGGTAACACCCCAGGGACAGCACTTAAGCCCAAAGCCTTTGCTGCAGCTGCCATCATCGCAGAAGATGCCATCCCAGGCATGCCTAATAGGCTTGTTGTACCCGATGGACCAAGTGGTGTTGGCTTGGGCAAAAAGTCTGAGAAGGTGGGTTCTAATTTCCCAGAAGTATTGTGTAACAGATGCCGACGATCATTTATATCTTCCATTTCTATTCCTTCATGGCGTTTTTTAGTAGCAATTACTTTTCGTGTATCACCATCATTAGATATATCAGTGAATTGAGTAACATTTGCAAGACGATCATGTATGTAGAAGGTTGGACTTTCACAAAGTGCTTCATGTGCATCTTCAGAATATCTAAATATAAAAGGGAGTAAGAGTAACAATTGGGGACACACTGTGAGATAGAGTATAATTCTATATTAGATTGTTTATTTAATATAGATCGCAGTGATACAGAGTTACCGACTGGTTGACGTTTCGAGCAGAATTTATTTCTCATAGTCATAAATAATACTGTATGATAATCAGCTTTATTAAATAAATAACCTAGTATGAGACAAAACAACAGCAAACACCAATCACCATCAACGGGAGAAACTTAAAGGAAGTAGCCTTTTTCACCTACTTAGGCAGCACTGTTTCAACTACAGGCGGTACAGATGAGGACATCAAAGCCAGGATCGGAAAAGCAAGACAGGCGTTCACTAACCTGAAACCAGTGTGGAGATATTCTGCACTTAGCGTAAAGCGTGAACAACCGGATTTCCAACACTAAGTCGATCAAGTCAGTGCTTCTATGTGATGGTTCAGACACTTGGCGTGTCACGAAAAGCATTTCCAACAAACTACAGACATGCATCATCAACAGCTGCCGCCTACACTCACTTGATACTGAAGATCAGGTGGCCAGAATAATAAGAATAAGCAACAAGGAACTCTGGCTAGTAACGAACCAACCAACAACCCATCGCCCAACAGATATGCAGAAGAAAGTGGAGATGGATTGGAGATACACTGAGAAGACCATTTGGGGACATCACGCGCCAGGCCGTCGAGTGGAACCTAAATGGGAAACGACGAGTTGGGCGTCCGTGTGTGACATGGAGGAGATCGTATGAGGAAGAAATAAAGGCTTCTAAGCAGTCACTGAGATAGGTTCGAAAGACTTCAGAGAACAGAGTGCACTGGAGACGTGCTACTGAAGCCCTATTTTCCACTAGGAACCCAAAGGACAAACAATAATAATAATGAGACAAAACAATAATTATCATGGCATTTTCAAATAAAACTAATATACAACAGTGCTGAGTCAATAAACTAGTTTGTAGTTGATACTTTTTGCAAAGTGTAGTTAACATGTCAACGCCTATATACAATAAACACTAGGGGAAAGAAACAGCTATTCAGCCTCCTCAAATTGAAAGAATCGGAATATAAGATCTGTGTTCTTTAGGAGTCCACTCTTTGTTTTTTAAGCAAGTAGTTCCCTAGTATCTGTAAGTCCTACATCTGACACATACTATATTAAACTATTAATTAAACATCAGCAATGTCCCTTATCTAGTGTGTAGCTCATCAATGTGATGACGAGGTCTGTAAATGCACATGGACTAATATACTAGTGATATTTACTTGCATGCCTCTGTAGTTCATTCCTAAAAAATTAATTATTCCACTTCCTATAGAGCATTTTATGACACCTATTTCTCTATGACATCTGAGATACTGAAATCATAGTTCCCATTGTGACATCAAAAACAAGATATTCAGAGAAGAGGACTCTATTCAACGAATTTATTATCAAGCTGTACATTCGTGTATATATATGATATTTAAAGACTGTAATCCGTGAGGAAGATTTAACTTAAATAATGGGGGTTGAAATATTTATAAAGGTGGTTATAATTATAAGGTCAGCGTGTGTGTCTACCAGTTCACCTGCTCGTGGGACAAGGTACGTCGGCAGTAGTCAGAGATGGCTGTCAACACGTATACGAGAACATACTCCGGCCTGGTCTTTTGAGGGTAAAAGGAAATAAATTAGAAGTCCTATCCTTGAACATTTAATCGATTCCAACCATTCAACCGACCCAAACAAGGATTTTAAGATTGTCTGTCGGATTCTCCCAAACACCTCACGTTTCCTCCGTGTTCAGTTTCTAAAAACAACAGAGACACTGGCTATCCATGAACTGAAGCCTGACCTATGTGTGCAAAAGAAGTATGTACAGTCATTGTCTCTACCTTGGCCTTAACTTATTTTAGTCTTGGTATGCTTCATCCCCTTTTTTCGTTTTTCACCCACCCCCTTTTTTGTCAGATAAATCTTTGCACTCTTATATCGTCATTATCACTTTGTTTATATTTAATTGTTTCCGGTGTTATTTCATTTGATCTTCCTAATAATCACAACTTTTAACAAAACATTTTCAATTTACTCCAATTAACTTGTCTCAAATGTGTTCACTTGACGTTAACTCATTATTCTTCACCAATATCCCTTTGGTCAAGACAATTGACATTTTATGTGGTTATATTTCTGTGCGTAGGTTTCCGATACACATTTCTTTGGATCATCTAAAAGAGCTGTTACTTTTATGTACAAGCAATATTAAATCCACCTTTGAGGGCGAACATTTCCGCCAGGTTGATGGTGTCGCTATGGGAAGTTCTTTAGGCCCCCTCCAAGTCGACATATTTATGTGACACGTGGAGAACTTAGCCTAGAACTTAATAGATCAAGCCTATCTGTATCGAAGATAAGTAGACGATATTCTGATCATTTGTGAAAACTCAAATCAGTCTACTTCAATTCTAAACCTATTGAACGAAGTGCAGAACAGCATATCCTTGACATGTGTAAGAGAGGAAGATGACTGCCTACCATTCTTGGATATATTAATCAGTCCAACGCAGGATGGATCCATAAAACGATGTATCTACAGAAAACCTACATGAACAGGGCAATATCTGAATTACCATAGCTTTTGCCCAGTTCAGTACAAGCGAACGTTAGTAAGGTGGTTATTCAGCAGAATTCAACGAATATGCACAGAGAATACTTTAGAAGACGAAAGAGGAACACTGACTGACATTCTATTGGAAAATAACTATCCATAAACATTTATCAGGCAGACCAAAATTATCAAAGCGCCAAAACTAGATCTTCAGTCTGTTCCAAACAAGGATTTCCTCATCAGCCTTCCGTACAAAGGTGACTCTCATAGTGCAATCCTTAAGCAGAGACTTAACCCTGCTGTTAGAAGGACTTCCTATGCAGCCAGAGTTCGAGTAATCATCATCATCATTATCAACATAGGACCAGGCATTACTGCCTAACGGTCCGAGTTGCCACACCTCATATCAGCACATCAAGTAAAAAGGTAGTGAGGTGAAGGATGAAGATAAGTGAATGCAGTCAAAAGAAATATAAAGTACGGGAAGAAAGAAAGGAAGAATGACAATGGTGAGATTCGATATAGCGTCGTTAAGATGAGGATAATGTGTGTATACATCTGCGCCACTCACTTCGGTTCTGAGCCATATCACCTAGGGTCTCCAACCACTGGTTCCTCTTGTCCCGCCGACCCCAACCACCTAGTCTGCATCGTCCTACATGGCTTAAACCAACAGTCAGAGACTTCATACATTGGTGCCATGTTTTAGTCTGGCCACCTCGAGCCTTTTTCCAGCCTAGACCCACCTCAGCCAACATTGTGTGACGAGGCAATCGGTGACTAGGCATACGTAGTACGTGTCCCAACCATCTCAGTCGATGAAGGTTCACAACCTCGTCAACTGACTTACCTCTTCTCCCCAAAACTCTACACCTAACTTCTGCATTACTCACATGGTGACACCACGGAATACGTCCTATACTACGAAGGCAACGGTGGTCAAACACCTGAACAGCCTTCTCATGTCTTCCACTTTCAATGGCCATGTTTCACAGCCATACAGTAGAACAGAGCGGACTGCTGTGCAGTACACGCGACCCTTAATAGACAAACGAATATCACGGCGGCACCATAGGTGGCGCAAATTGGCAAAAGCCAATCGAGCCTTTTGTATCCGTGCAGAAATCTCATCGGCAACTAACCCACCAGGGCTGGTCCTACTTCCCAGGTAAGTGAAGTGGTCAACACACTCAACCACTTCACTCTCTATTGTTAACCGCGGTACCGCTGAAGACCAGTCCTGGAGCAAAAATTTGCATTTGGGTGGTGAAAATCGCATCCCAAACATTCTCAAATTCCCACTCAAAGTGTTCAGAAGACTCTGCATCTTGTCAGCGTCTTCACCTAACAGGACTATGTCATCTGCATATTCTAGATCTAAAGAAAATTCACCTGTGATCGGGTCAACGTCTGTGTAATTAGGTGACGAGAGGGAAACCTCCATAAGAATATCTATGATAAAATTAAATAAGAATGGGGATAGTGGGCATCCTTGACGGACACCACTTGATGAGTATAGCTCCCTGGACAACTCGCCATAGGCTCTAACATGCCCACAAGTGTTCGAGTAGAGAGCTTTCAATAAGGTGATGTACTTACTAGGCACGCCTTTCAGTGACAGACACTGCCATAAGACTTCTCGATCAACGGAGTCAAATGCCGCCTTCAGGTCGAGAAATACAGCTATTGTCGGGCGTCTGTAAGCATGCCTATGTTCCAGGACCTGGCGCAGTGTGAATATTTGGTCGATACATCCACGGCCAGGTCTAAAGCCTGCCTGGTTTTCTCGGGCTTGCTGTTCCCGAGCTCCACTCAGGCGTCGGAGAATTATAGAACTTAGGATCTTAGACACTATGTTTGTCAGGCTGATTCCTCTGTGGTTATCACAAGAGGACTTCTCGCCTTTCTTGAAGACTGGGATGATGAGTGACTTAGACCAGTCGGAGGGGATCGTATTTGATTCCCATATACTGGCTAACACTTCCGTTAACCTGACTAAGAGCACTCTACCACCATTCTTGTATACCTCAGCAGGTAGTCCGTCTGGTCCTGCTGCCCTTCCCCGTTTCAGGCTACCTACCGCTTTCTCAACTTCTTCTAGTGTTGGGGGGCCTGTCTCTATGTCCCATTCAGGGTCCGACTGGATAGCGGGCAACGCAATGGTGGCTGGAGGCCAGTTAAACTGTTCCTCGAAGTGTTCTGCCCGTCGTTCCAGTCGCCTTCCCTGCACGAGTGAATCGCAGTCCTGTCCTTCTCCGCTATAGCCTCACTAACTGTTGTTGACCATTTCCCCCCAATCTCCTTAATAAGTCTAAATAACTGTTTACGGTTACCTATCGCCGCTGCCTTCGCCATCTCTTTAGCCTTCGCTGCCCACCACTGTTCACGATCGTTGCGCAGACTTTTCGTCAGTCTATTTTTAAGTTGCGCTCGCTCTTCATTGTACTCAGAGCCTGCAGGGATGCATTCACGTGCATCCATCAGTTTGGAAGAAGCTGCTGATATCCACTGGCTCTTTTTAGCCAGTAATAGAAACCACGAAGCACGTATATTCCCCAAACCCCCACAGCATGTGAAAGACAGTGTCATATCCCATTGTATCTACCAATTCAAATGTACGTATGGTGACACATACATAGGGAGGACTAATGGATCCATGCAAGTAAGGGCCTCAGAACATACTCCAAAGTGGCTTCAGAAGCAAATTAAATCGCCGGAACCCATAAATGTTGGTAGCAGACGTCCAAGTTCTTCAATCGCTAAACATATCGTTGAGACAGGCCACAGGATTGATGTGGCTACTTCCTTTACACCTACCTACAAGACATGTTGGGGAGGGATCCTTGAATTTGTTGAGGCCTTAGCTATTAGAAAGTTGAAACCACCTTCGTATGTTCATAAACAATTTGTTGTCACATTAAATCTTCTTTGGTAAATTCAACTATTGAAAACCAAGTCCGATGTACTATTATTTTTCGCTCAATTGATTTTCGTTACTATTCGACCTTTAATTCAGCCTTCCTACCTGATCTCTTTTTATTTTCTGACCCCTTATCATTCTTCATGAATTTTTATATAAATACGTATGACAAGTAGGTATGTGATCAGATAGTTCGAAATGTGTTGCGCAGATACATTACACGATTCAGGCAATTTACGTCTTCTTACTGTTTTGTCAAAGTTTTCGGAGGGAACTAATTGTTTTAACTTGTCTCACTCATATTACCTAATCCTTTGATTGTTTATTAGCTCTATCACGTTTTCACCCCCTTTTTAATCTCTATGCACCTTATAAACAACTTGAAAATCTTACGTAACCCTTTTTTGTTATCACTCGACCTTTACGTCATCAACTAGCAACATTATAATTATAACCATCATTATTATTGTTGTTTCAACCTCCCATTATTTCAGTTAAATCTTCCTTACGGATTACAGTCTTTAGGTATTATATATATATATATATATATATATATATATATATATATATACGAATGTGCAGCTTAAGAATAAAATCGTTGAAAAGAGTCCTACTCTTCGCTGAACATCTTGTTTTTGATACTGAAATCAGTCTAATACAGAAATATAACTTTCAGTGCATACTTAATGAACAGTCTTTTAAAAGATCACCTAGAGGTTGACAAATCTTATTTTTACATATCTAAATTAAAACTCAAGGTCCACAACTGATCACTCCAAATATAATTTACATTTCACTCAGTGCAATTAGTTGACTAATAAAAAAGAAAACTTTAAAATCGGCCCACTAATTTATTTTACAAACGGTACCAAAGGGATATTCATTTTTCGACGTTACATATACTTCAGTAATAAGATGATCATGCAAACATCATGTATGAAGAGGGATTATGCTAGATTACTATAAAAGTCATACAGTCAGTGTTGTTGGAGTATCGCATGTAGTTTGTGAAGCCCCTGAATAAACAATATCAAAATACGGCATGAAAACAATGTAAGTAAACTAAGAGCCAATGGTTAATATAGATTTTTGATTTTCTGTACTGTACACTTCTGAAGAAAGTATTTCATGTGTAGCGGAACACCCTGAAAGATCTTTATATCATCCAGTTCGCATTGTTGTGAAAATTATCATGAAGATTATTATAACTTGGAGCTGTAGATCACTACAATAGGCATTAAATGAGACAGTACCCTGACTTTGCGAGCTGAGGTTTGGGTAACGATGAAGTACTAACTCTTGTTTGTTTAGCTGAGTCCTTGATGATTATATCTGATCCTCCATCTTCGATATCTTCACATCACTCTAATTTTGTTATATTATACATTTCTTAGAGTTCCATTCTATCCAGTTCTATGTTCTAAGGTTAAAAGTTGTAGTAAAACAATGTAAATGTGGGAAAATAGTAAACAAGAAAGCATTGTTTGCTTTAATGAACTAGCCAAATTTAATGCATTTAACTTACTTGTAGGTAACCAGTGCAACACGTTCACCTCCCAAATGTCCAACACTAATGGAAAGGTCACCATACTTTCCTAGTTCTCGATAAACATATTGTTCAACGACATCAGCACTCAGTTTCGATGAAAAGTTTCTGACGCAAAGAGTTCTGGAATTATCTAACCCATGAATTCTTCTTTCTGATGAATTCTTAGATCTTGATGAATGTCTGTTTGACTGTGCATACTTGGAGTCTTTATACCTTGAAGTAGGGGAATTTCGAGAAACTGAACGCTGTCTTTCTGTATATCCTGATCGATCTCTTTGTCTCTTTGATGGTGGTGAATAGTCTTGATCGGCATGTCTGCGCATTCTACTGAAGTCTAAGTGAAAATAAATATATATGAATGACGAATTGAATGTGAGGAACAGTTGGTTAGTAGAAAATTAAGAAACAAATATTCAAGAAGCTTTCATGCAATAATCGTTTAATTTATCTAGCCTTTCGAAAATGTATTATCAAGGGATGTAAAATACATGGACGACACCATCTGCAGGGGTAGTCCCGTTAGGATAAGACGCTGACAAAATGATGAGTGTTCTAAACGCTTGCAGCAGAAATTTGAGTATGTTTGGCATGCGTCTGCACCTGTCAAATGTGAGATGATGCTTCAAGACTGATCTGCAACTACTCCCAGTTTAAGAATGGGAAGTGAAGTGATAGAATAAGTTGTCTACATCGCTTACTTGAGGAGCTGCATCAGCCTAAACACGTTTGTCGCTGACAAAATCTCAACTCGGATGCAAAAGGCCCATCTAGCACTTGCCAACTTACGTCACCTTTGACACCAATAGGCGAGATCCGACTTTGTGTTAAAGGACTAGCATATTGTGCTATAATTCACTTTGTTCTGTTATATGGCTGAGGCTTGGTAGTTGAATAGATTATTATCACAGGTGTTTTCGCATGATTGCTAACGCATAGTGAACAGCGTCGAGGTTAAATGAAGGTTATTAGGCAAGGATGGCAAGTCAGTCGGGGAAACTGTGAATCTGAACCGACTGAGGTGGCTTGGGCATGTGTTGCACATGTCAACCTTGTATCTTGATGTGCAGTTTAAACAAAAGTGGGATTGGATTGTAAGATTAATGGTGGCTAGATCAAAATGTCACACCAATCAGTAAAAGAACCATGCGCACCTTCGTGTAGCAAGCAATGAGCCACAGCTATTCTATGAGGGCTAGCGATAATAAATGGCTGCCCAGGACTCGGTGAGCCTCGAACCTTTCAATTCGAGTGCCTAGATCAATGACCCACGTTCCACAATCAGTTCATGAAGTTTTTCACTGTTGGTCTGAGCTATGTAGACTGCCTGATTAAGGTCGTCGAGCAAACAGTATTTGCGTAAGGACTGCGAGGTCTAGCAGTCAGAACTTGCCAATGAAATGGTAGCGGTAGTTACATCTGACAATAGTCAGCTGTTCTAGCTTATCCAAAGCACTGGGAGCAGGAAACCTGTTGTTAGTCAGGTCTGAGAAGTAGATGGTACGCATATCACCAAATTGAATAGACACTTAGGACGCTGAGTAGAGCATTTCAAATAGTCTGCCGGTCCAGCAACATCGACATTATTGACCTGTGCTCCATGGTCAGTTAACAATGAGCCACCGTACAACCTGGGGTTCCGTAAGGAACGCCAAGTTGTACACAGTCGTTAGACATGGCTGAGAAAACCTACCTAATGATTTCTAAAGGACAGAGGCTAGACAGTAATCAGAAAATTGAATACACTGTTTAGGAAGGTATGGCAGAATTAAGGTGTCTCATCACTCTAGAATAAAGCTACTGTTGTACCCATTTTTAAAAGAAGTCTATGTAATGTGTGATAAACATCAGGGTACCATTGTATTACTAGCAATTTCTGCAGTGATGGATGCTATCATATTTCGCGGATTGTGCGGAAAACTGATCCCCGAAGAACATGCTGGTTTTCATACAAATGCCCGATTGCTGTCATATTTATTTCAAGTCAGCGATCGTTTTATTCCTCCATATTACGGATGCCTCTGAAATCGACTGTTAAAGAAGGGTTTCCTTTAAATATACGTCAGCATACTGAAAGTTCTAAAATTCAATACATGTAGCTTGTTGGTTTATTTAGTTGACTTTCAACCACTAGGTCACCGGCTCGAACACTCCCCCACTTACCGAGATTCGCGAAGCCAGTTAGTATGGTTAGCCCTCACTCATTGCGTTTGGCTCATTGCTTACCGCACGAGTGCACTTGGTTGCTGAGCACATTTCGAGTTTCGACTTCTACAAATCAGAGAGAGTGAAGGCTTACAACCACCTATCCAATGGTGGGGTTAATCAGGGTAGCTCAGTTACGCCATTTTTCCCTAACTTTACCATCCATGACACTAAAGACACCCTTGAAGGAGGTGGATGTTGGTCATATAGACCGGCTACCAGGGTAAAATACTTCTCAACCTCGAGTATGTGAACGATATCGTTTTATTAAGTGACAACATGTGAGCTACTTCAATCTCACTCAGTCAATGATGAGTGCCCGTAAGCATGTTACGAGTTATACGGCATCGAAATGTGAGGTGTTTCAATAGAAGTAGCCTGATCGTGTTTCTACACTCACTCTTGGCCGTGAACCGTTATAAGGAGTCAATAAGTTTGTATCTGAGTAAGCGTGAGCGCTGGTAGAAGTGTGACTGATGGCATTTTCAACCATGTATCGGAAGTCAGTAGGATATGCTTGAATGGGTCACCGTTGTGACGTTAGCCTGACTTTGAAACGTCGGCTGCAAAGGTGTAGATACAAACAGTCTTGGTCTACGACTGTAGAACCTGGCCTATCACACTTGACAATGTTCGACAACTCTGCATGTTTTATCACTGTTGTCTCCATAGAACTGTTAGTAATCCTGAAGGCGATGAGTGTATGCGCATGATGGAGGTTGTCATTTACTGCACGAAGCCATCTTGAAAGACCGCCCTTAGAGGCATAAATGTTACAAATATCATCTAACACACACACCACTCCCTATTCATATGCCTTGAGACTGGTTGGAAGAAGCGGAGAGGTGATCAACGTATGATACGGCATCGTGTAATGCAATATAGCTACGTTTGTATCTGTGGGTGTTTCAAGACTACCTGAATGAGTTTCAAGAGACCATGCAACTCGGGGGCATGAGACGATAGCAGACATGGCTCAGAATTGAAACCAGTTATGACTATGATGCAGTTTTCTTGTTTCTTCTACTAACAAAAAGTGAAGCGAAAGCGCTGAATGCTTCTTCAATAACCCGATTCTGTTTTTTGTCTCCATTCTCCTTTTTTCTGTTCAGTGTTACCCCTTATTATTTCGTATCGCACGTCTCTTGGTGCCCATAATGTACCGATTCTGTGTTTCAATAATAATAATAATAATAATTACAATGCGAGTAATATCAATATGCTTGTGCACGTTCATTTTTAATCATTTATGTGGTCGATAAGATAATACCTTGCGCATCTTGTCTTCTAATTTCCTCGGTCAAAATAAAAAATGAACATTTAAGCAACACAAAACACTTATCACATCTCGAAGCATAGTAATCTGTTAAGCACAAGTTTCCCACCATTAGGGACAGAAAAACGACTAAAACTCCTCGAAACGTCGTCGAAAAAACAAGGTGTTGAAGGTCTATTCTGAGTTATTATTCTACGTTTTAGATGGTGAGAGTCAGTCAGCAAAAACTTTTGGAGAAAAAAGAAATCGAGAACTACGCGGTAACCTTGTGCACAGCCGTGCAGCAGGTAGTGAGCCATACTTATGTGATTGCTAATAATACTAACTGGCTGCCCACACGTTGGAACGTGGATTGATGCTCGAACCCACGACCCTCTGGTTAGTAGTCGGTTCCTCAAACCAATGAGCCACAACTCTATAGGAAGTTTTGAACCTTGGTTTAATGGTTTTAGCACTTATCGGCAAGGCGCATTCACAAACCCGAGGAACCTGGTGTTTCCCTCGTGATTCGGACATGAATGACCCAGTGTTGAAGTTAGAGAATTTACCACCACTGAGTTATTGAGGCCTTATATTACTAGGGTGATCCAAAAAGCCACTGAAGATTCCATGACGTATATGTTAAGTATAATATTTTTGCTATGACTGGGAAGCCATCATACGTTTTTAGGGAAGTAATCTACTTAGGTAAACATTTATTTCTTACACGAAATGAGATAAGCTGGTTAAATTGTGAATCAGGATTAAAGCATATGTATTTCTATGAGATTCTGAAGACTGAGTACATTCATTGCACTGATGTATTATGACATTTTAGTGACGGCTATTATTGACATAATGTTATGTTTATTGTGAACTGTAATCAGCAGAAAGGAGTCCTAAAGCTCAGTGTAACTTAACGTTTCACAAATGCACCAGTTTTCGTTAACAATATTACAGTGACTGATATAAGACGTGTTGTTTAAGTTATCTACACTTGGAAATGTCAAGAATTTCAGTTTAGGCATATCCTTGAGGAAGACAAGCAGTTGCTGCTAGTCGTTGCTAAGTTTTCGAGCAGACGAAGAGTGTAGTATAATTCAGTCATTATGTAAACGACTGCGTTTATATATATATATATATATATATATATATATATATATATATATATATATATATATATATATATATATAACCTCGTCCAGTTAACCAGTTCACTAGCTACCACATGGTCCTAAGACAAGATAAAAAGGGAAGGTTGGACATAGGGCTAACAATCCTACCCCGTAAAATCAATCCAATCGCACAAAAAAAATGAAAATTGACTCATTCCTCGCTGGAATCGAGGGGATGAAATGACGCCGGTTAGTGAAAGCCTTCGGGAAGCCAATTGGCCGATGTGTCTTCTCTCAGTGAAAGCAAAATTAAGAATGGAGACATGGAATATCCGAACAATGTCTGAAGCTGGCTGGCAAGGCTGCCGAGATTACCAAAGAGATGAGAAGGTGTAGCATAGAAGTGCTAAGAACCTGCGAGAAATCTGCAGATGGAATGGAAGTGGACTCTCCAAACTGTTAACTGGAGGGTCAATAATCTACTCCGATATTGTCACCCAAACGACAACCACCAGCATACGGAGGGAGTGGCTATCATGATGTCACCGAAAGCATCGAAGGCTCTCTCTCATGCGGTGGGAACGAATCTCCTTCTGCACGATCAGGATCATGACAGCAAGGTTCAACTCAAAAGGAAGGAAAGTCACAATCAAACAATGCTACGCTATGCACCTACAGATACTGCAGAAGAAGAGAAGGAGGAATTCTACAAACAACTGCAATCAGTACTAGACAAGACTCCAGTTGGCGA